TACTCGTGCGGACTCCCAAGAGGTCCTACCACCAGTGATTACGCAAATTATAATTTTTGCGGGTTTGATTTTTATTACACGATGTTATTCCTTCACCGTGGAAGTCAACATTTGTGGAGTACGTATTTCATTACAAAAATTGGTACCCGCCTGCGGGATTCGAACACCGGTGCATCGCTACATACGAATGCACCGGACGTCTTATCCTTTAGGCCACGACGACTTCAATTATATCTACAAATCACCAATACCAAAATAAATACTTTAATGTAATGTGGCCCATGTTTTGTTTTTCTATTGCATAGATAGGTGAACGAGCTCACCGACCATCTGATGTTACTGTTCCAATTTTGAAACTGGTGCGAGTAATTGCTTCAACACAGAAATAGGCAAAATAGGGATACCAGTAAAAAATAAAACCAGTAATAAATTTAGGGATGGCAAACCGCGCAATTTAAAACTGTGAGGCGGTAAATGATGATTTCCTTAGTTTTTGATTCTTCCAACAATACACATTTGTTGTGGGTCTGACATTTTTTTCCGAAAGACGACCATGCATGCGCGTGCATTTGTACAATGCGATTATTACACTATCGCTTTCCGATATAGTAATATGTCCATTTATTTGTGTATTATCAATTTAATTAATTATAATTATTTATATAACCTTATGTAATGCACGCTCAGACTGCCATTTAATTGATAAAAACTGTAAATGTCTATTACTATTGTGATATTTTCAATAGAGAATTTCTTGATTTTAAACTCCACAATTAATATTATAATATTATAAAATTATTAATATCTCTAAAATATATAATATGCAAGTAATACTCAGATGAGAGCACCAATTTAAAATTAATAGCGAGTTTCATCATTACCTGATAATAACAACATCAATGTCCTTATGCCTGGTCGCAACGCCAGGGTAAGATTTACAGTTCAGAATGTAAGCATACATGTCCAGTTCGTTTCTGAGAGCCACATTGCGTGACGTCACATAGGCTGCCTCACTTTTGGTTTCAATGTTGCCCTGAGAAAAAAAAATTTGGTATTTTTTAAGGTCCCGGAGGTTTACTGACAAAAGTAAGATCTTCCAGTTTTATGTTTAACCACGAGTGTGCGGTAGCTTTGATAGTCGAATGTTATTGTACGAAACTTGTAAATTCGCAAGTGTATCATGAAAATGTCATTAGCGAGGTTCCGGTATCTGTCAAATATATTGTGTTCTATGATAGCCTGCTGCAAGATATTATATTTATTGTATTCTTAGTAAATTCTCACCATTTTACTCAGAATTCATTTCATTTCATACAAAACCTACAGTATTTTATTCATTGAATTTCAAATGAAATAAATTTATGGAATTTCATTCAGAATTGATTGGCAAATTGACGTAGTCGTCAATAACCCTGATTAAAGCCTACATCATCCAATCTTGATTACATTCACACCTGAAGTGTTAAGTAATAAGCCTAATTTCATGTTGATTCTTCTCGTTCAGCTTGAATGTGATTCTTCTCCTAACTAGGATTCAATGAGAACCATAGACTGTCCCATACTTACATAAACACAACAGTATAGTCTCTCTTGTGACCGCCCTGAGAGAGGCCGAAAACCGAGGGAAATGGAAGCCTATGGTACAAAGAGCCACGAAGGGCTTTCAGGGACACGACCTTCAGCAATGAAGTATGCGACTAAGGAGAAGAAGAATCGAGCAAAGGAACATCGTCACTTCAATGATTGTACAAAATGGGGATCAAACAAATGACCCTTAGCATAGCAGTGAGAGCTGCTGACTGCTGAACTGATAGGTCATCTTTATTAAATATATGTGGCATTAAAATTAGACTCTATTTACTCTTGTTTCCATATATGTAAGAAAACACAAACATAGGAGATGATAAATATAGATTGGAGTCAATTAATGTGGAATGTTTATGAGCTGCTTATTACGTCAATAAATGGATGTTATGCACACATGTATGTATGTAATTCTGTAGCTTGGTAGTTATGTAATACAGATTGCTGCATTATGATCTTGATTTTACTCTACATATGTTTCACGAAATAAAACTATTTACCTTTAGCCCCACACCGTTCCTCTTAATGGTAGTTATAGCATATTGGACATCATCATCATTGTCCATCGTTGGGTCAATGTCCACCACTTCGAAGTCAATAGGAGCACCGATGTATCTAAAACATGTTTGAATTATTTTTCATTTCAGACTAAAATCATTTCCTCTTTTCTGAGGGGTATTAAATTTTTCATTTCACAAAACTAGGCAACCCCAATTATACCATGTAGGTATTACTAACTTTCTTTATGAATTATTCTGAAGTTTGTGTAAATTTATCAAATTAAATTAGTGTTGTTATTAGAGTAGTTATTTTTTTATTCTACTTTCTTAATAAAATCACCGATATTAAAATATATTTTGTATACCACAGTAGAATTTCTATGATTATGCTCGTATAGGTGTTTTGTGTAATTGTGTAAATTTTAGTATAAAAGAGCTACTAATGATGAACAATTAACCCATTATTGTTATAATTCACAAATAAAAGTTAAAATTATTTTATTGTAAATTATATTCTTGTTTCTATTGCTTTGTCTGTTCGTAAGCTACATTTTCCTTTATTATAACATAGATTGGTGAACTAGCTCACCACCCACCGGTGCTAATTGGTTACCGGAGCCAGTAGCCATTACAACATGAGTTTCGCGACCCAACAAAAGTCCCACTCTTGCACACAAAAATAAGACTGGTTTGCGACATTACAAACATAGATGTTATATTATAACATACAATTGAGACTTCAACTTATCTCAATTATATTATAATAATTATTTTCCAGCCAATACTTCAGATCAGATGGGCCGTGAGCTCCTTAACCCATATAGAACAAAAAAGGAGTTCATTTAACATCTACAGATTGAAATCCAAGTGCATTCAGGAGTAAGAGAGCAATCAGCTAGTGTTTTTTGTCTCTACAGCACTGACGGAGAGAACTTCAGAACCTGATACTCTTGAAATTATCACACTTTTGGGTTCTACAACTAAATTGCAGCCTTCAAAAAATATATCCGTTGTTATTCGCTTTGTACTACTAAAAAAGCTGGAGATATTTACGAAACACTGGCCTTGAGGCCCATAATGTATCCTTACTCCGAAGAATTTTATCCTGGGAGTTCACAAAACTTGGCACTGCATCAAAAAGGTCAACTTACTTGAATATGTCGCGAACGTATCCCATGCACTCAGGACCGATACCGCCTCCAGGGAGCATGGTCACCGCGTGACGACCGCCGTATTGCGCCTTAGGAATCAGCTTCTGTTTCCTGATAACGGGAGTCTTGTGCTGGACATCGAAATCCGATAATGTAGCGGGCGCTGCTTTCGAGCTGAAATTCACAGACCCGCGCACATCAGGCAAAACCTTCAATTTAGTTAACAAACGCACAGCCATCCTGAATTTTGAACTAAAAACAGCTGTTTGGGATTGGAAACTGGTTAAATAATCACAGGAAGTGGAAAACTCGTTAATCCGTGTCGCTAATTTTTCGCCATCAGGTGGCGCTGTAACGCTTAACTTCCAGGTCATAAGATCGAATTGAATAGATGTCGCTACTGAGGGAGAACTGAAAAAATTGAGTTGCCATGACAATATCGACATTTTGCAGCTTGTTTTATACTGTTTTTTTTTTAAATTATTTATGTGACGTTATTTTTTATGGCCAAGATGAATGGGGTGAGCTCACAGCCCGCCTAATGGTGGTCACCGGAGCCCATAGACGTTAAACAACGTTAATGTCAACCACCCATCTTGAAACATGAATTCGAAATCTCAGTTTTACGACTACCCGACCCTTCAAACCCTGCTTCACGTTAGAAATAGGCAAGTTGAGGTCGGCGCAAGCCCACAAATTACTCAAACACCAGTAATTACGCAAAATATATGATTTGATTTTTTTTTTTTTTTATTATTATCTTTATTTAATTACTTAATAATTTATTAAAAAAAAAGAACACAATATTCCTAACCTAAAAGTACATGTTATTATCCGCAACATGCCTCGTCAGATTACAGAAATAAAGTTATCAGCAACATGCTTCGTCAAAAACATGATTTGATTTGTGTGGGTTTGATTTATTATTAGACGATGCTATTTTCTTCATCATCTAAATCATTCGTGAACGAGAACATACAACATTACTGGTGGTAGGACGTCTTGTGAGTCAGCACGGGTAAGTACCCCGCCTATTTCTGCGGTCAAGCAGTAATGCGTTTCGGTTTGAAAGGTGAGGCAGTGGCTGTAACTGTACTGAGACCTTAGAACTTATATCTCAAGGTGGGTGGCGCATTTACGTTGTAGATGCCTATGGGCTCCAGTAACCACTTAATAACCAGATGGCCTGTGAGCTCGTCTACGCATATAAGCATTAAAAAAAAAGAACATTTGGTTAAGTACGTATTTCATTTAAAAAATTGTACCTGCCTGAGGGGATTGAATGCCGCACAGTGAAATCGCTGGATACGAATCGGGGCTTTGGGTGTCTTAAGCTTTTGGCAATTACGACTTCTATCTCATTTCAAATTTTAAAATTATTTTCTTTAAGCTAAGTTATATTTATATATTAAATCTCAAATGGTCTGGTTATGGATACTAATTTATGTCACGGACTACAACTTAATCAAGGAAGAGGCAAATTTAACACAATTTTTGTCGTTAACGTGAGATAATTTCCGCAAAACTGAATTTTATCACAACCAACCCAAATAACAACAATCCTTTGTTTTACTATTTTAGTATGAGCTAGAATAAAATTAACAATTTTTATACATAAAACAGCACTATTACCTATTCATTTTACATTTTGTTCTTATGAATTAAAAAATGTTTTTTTTGACAATAAATGGTAGCACTGAATGTTCTGACAGTGACAGCTGACAAGTACGATTTTATCCCTTATTGCTTACAGAGTTCTCGACTGAGAGCGGCTGAAAGTACGGGCGTCCATTTTCCTACGCCATATTGAATTTGGTCGGACATCTTTGGACGCCATGTTTAGTCAGACATATTTTATAAACATTTTCGCGTAAATTTCAAATATTTTTCAATCAAATTACCGAACTTTTTTTCAGTGAAAACAGTGGTGTCGATTGCGGTAATAACAGCTTTAAAAAATTTAGTGCCAATTCGTCTATACATAATTGTCTCCTGGGGTCTGGCGGAGCTTTTGTTACAAGATAAATACAGGTAAATTATTTCATTCGAAAACATCTAAGTTTTTGACGTACGAGTAACAAGTGTTTAGAATATTTTCGTGTTATTAACAAATCAGGGTTCTATTTAAGGGCGTGTGAGTGAAGGTCAAAAGGTGGAAGTGAGTTACGTTACGATTGTGGCGTGGTCAATTTATAAATACCTAAAAAAAACGGGAAGTTTCACCCGGCCGGTAATACGGACGGTTGTCAACAATGAATTTTTCCACTCTGTACTTTAATGCAATAAAATTGTTAATTATGTATTTACAAATTAAAATAAAGCTATTGTTACCGAGATACAACTCAAATGAGAAAACGATTCGGCTCGATGACGTATATTCCATTAAAAAATTATCGTCTTGTTTTAATTACAATTGAATTCGCGAACATCTGTTTATAAATTCAATGGATGTTGTTTTTTTTTTTTTTTTGTTGATAATAGAACTGAATATTATCTACTTATGCATTGTTTAATATTGATACACATTAATATGATTATAAATAATGTATAATGATGACTTGTTGTTTTTTTGTTTCTTTATTGAATTAGAACTTATTTTATATTAATGACATTACATGAAACAGTCCCAGATCTATGTAAATTGTAATAAAATGTTAACTACGGAAAAATATAATAATTAGCTTAATACAATGTTTTAATATATGAAAATAATTTTTGAAATATATAATTCATTATAGAATAATAAAAATTATATGTATCTAGAAGATGTGACAAAAATTAAAGAAAAAATTAGTGTTAGTATCTTTAGTGATATTAGTGAATTAATGTTGTCTTGGCTTATGAAGAAACTTTATTTAATTAATTAATTAAAACATTTCTTGGACTATTTATGAATACTTTTATTAAGTTATTATGGTTTTCATAGGCAAAAACTATAGGGTCACTTTTGGGTCTTATTACTATATAAATTAAATTCTGTATTGAACACTAGTATTAATATAACTAAATGAGCGAGCATTAGAGGTCTGAAATAGATTATTTAAATATTACTTATTTTCGTAATATAATATCCTCTTTGTATTATAAAAAACATAAAGTATGGCTCTTTCTCAAAATAATAATAGATTTATGTTATTGTTAAACATGTATCTCTATGTAAAAATGTAGCTCTATTGCCTCTAACTGCTGATAAATATTAGCAGGTCCTGTTTGTGGATTTATTTTCGTCTGAAACATGCATTTAAGTGTTATTATTATGACTGATTTGACCCTTCATACTGTGATGCCTCATAATGAATAATCAGTATAATAGATTACCCAATAGCCATAATAAAGTATGGCCTGTATCCAATAGCCATTAATAGCTTATGGTTTCCATGTAGATTTATTTTGAAGAAAATTCCATACCCATTTGGAAAAAGACACCTTTTTAATGCCACTTAACAATTCTGAATATGAGTGACATCATTTGTGGTCAATATAGTGAAGAGCTAGCAACAGGTATTCGTTTAAAATGATCATCCATTATCATTATTCTCCTGCCCTTCTCCCAGTCACCTGGGGTCGGCGCAACATGTTTTCTCCTTCCATACTCCTCTCATATCATTTCTTGGCTCACTCCCCTCTTCCTTTAGCCTTTCATGCTGTCCAACCATTTTTTCTTAGGTCTACCTCTTCCTCTAATGATCATCCATTATATAATTCGTAAATTATGATTGGTGTTTAGATTCACATAAATAACGTAAAAAAACATTCTATTGAATCTCCTTTTTAGATAAAGTCTGAAAATAATTAAATTATAGTTAATGTGATAAAAAAGGAATTAATACATTTTGTGAAGGTGTTCCAAAAATTTATATAATCCTTACTCTGGTAATTCCAGGGCTCCATCAAGATGATGAATCAAGAGATTATGTGTGAAGTGGAAATTGGCACTCATGGAGCTATAGAAATAGACGGGGATGATCAAGTTCAAGTTGGTGTTAAGGTAACTTTTATAGAGTCTAAAAACTACATTCTTCACAGCTGAGAATTCCCACTTTATGCAGAAAAGTCATTTCATGGCTGAGACCAGCCCTCAGAGACATCAAAACTAAACTGATAACTATGCATACATCATGTGTTTGATTGTGAAGGAGTATTCCTTTCTACTAGTCTAAATGGTAAAACAATCATCACAACAAAACAATTCAGACTGTGACTTCATGTTTCTAGTTAGCTGGTGGTGTTCACAATGTGATGTCTACGGTCCTAATATTTAGCGACGAGCTCACAGCCCACCTGGTGTTAAGTGGTTACTGGGGCCCATAGACATCTATAATGTAAATGCGCCACCCACCTTGAGATCTGTTTTAAGGTCTCAAGTATAGTTACAATGGTTGCCTCACCTTTCAAACCGAAACACATTACTGCTTCACGGCAAAAATAGGCAGATACCTACCCGTGTGCACTCACAAGAGGTCCCACCACCAGATTATTGAATTTATGCTGAAGGAAACATGAACTTATTGCATGTTTTACAGTTTATAATTAGCAAAGTTAATGGTGTGAACCAAGGCTGTCCAGCTTAGATATGTGGCCAAAAAATACGACACGAATTAGCAGGCCAAATGAACGAAATGTTAACCGTGAAGATTCCCGAAAAAATAAATTAGCAAATTTTTTCATATTTATAGTTTCTAAATATTTTTTAAATATTTCCTTATTATTATTTTTTGTTATGAGACTTTAACAATACCGTCTTTACCATAAGGGCACACGGAGCCCGTGCCTAGGGCCCCCATTCTCAGGGGGCCCCGAAAGGCCGACAATTTCTCTCACACGTTTATTCTCAAAATATTTTTATCGGGCACATTACACTTTTTTCACAAATCAGTAATCAGAAGGTATTTACAAGGCATATACTATGCCTATAATAGAAGATTTTGCTCAACAGAAATCCCGAAAGAAACCGTTATCGAAATCGTAACCGAAAAACCAGCAGCATTCTAATATCATTAATGACATATTATATCATACTGTATTTGATTACCTATAATAAATGGTCATACTCAGTAAAAAAACTTATTATAATTCGCTTTTTTTACTTTCCAAAAGGGCCTCAAATTCTTGTGTGCCCAAGGGCCCCATCCTAGTTTAAGACGTCCCTGACTTTTAAATGTGTTCTGCATGCCACACCTAGAAGTTGCAGGCCACTGTGTGACTGACTCTTGCCTACAACATGACCAATCGACTTCCAGTGTAAAGTAATGAAAATAACTTGTTAAATTTTAGTATGAAGAAATAGAAACGGGCCAGTATGAGGAATACATAACTGATGATCAATATGAAGAGGTTGAAGAACAGGTCATTGGGATGCAGCATCTGGAAGAAAGTATGTATTCTGCTAGTGGTTTGCTAGAAAGCTCTTTGAAAGTCAGGGTTACTTCTCCAGAACTGTCAGTACTGTAGTTATATCCATTATTGAATAGAACACACATCCCATAAAATGTACAAAACCTTATTAATTGAGTGCGTAAAGATGATTAAAAGAAACAGGTCTGTGTGCTCTGTGTGAAAAAAATAAAAAAAATTGCACTACGCACACTGAGTACTGGACATGGATCTACCCATGTTCCTATGTGGATCCGAAATTAAAACCACTTTCACTATCGACGTATTCACTAACTATATTGAATAATGTTATTGCACATAATATATTAATTGTTGCAAGATCTATCAAGCTATATTCGGTGGAAGATTATAATTATGTATATGTTGTTCGATAATGTAACCTTTTTCCAGTTGGGAGTGAAGAGGTTGTATTACCAGGTATATCTGGAGAAGAAGTCCTGACATCAGCTGGTGAGAATCCTTTTGATCCTCTCTACACGGATTCTGCTTCCACCAGCAACAGGTAATTAAATTGCTCGAATTATAGTGCTGTGGTTCATTGATATAAGTCTAAGGCAAGACTCGAAGACAAACATGAATATATCGACGCTTGAAAGGCAAACGTGACTAAGCGACAATAACTGCTTTGTACATAAATGATAGGCAATAACCATATTCGAGGCGCAAAAAAAATATATTTCTAGGTCTATTAAAATCATTTCAATCCTGCAACTACTAGCTAGATTCGTTAAAATAAATTTTGTTTTCAGGTCTTTCCACTTTAAATTAGTCTACTGTAAAGTTCACGCATTGTCGCTTAGTCATGTTTGCCTTTCAAGCGTCGATATGTTAATATTTTCTCTTAGAATTAGTGACGCTTTTTTTCTAGGATGATATAGAGGATAACCATTATGAACTGCTAGTTTGATGGAAGAATCATAACTAAATTAACAAATTATACATCGTTTTTGAAAGCTACTTAAATACATTTGCAAAATTACTGTTGCTATTGTGTATTATGAACCTATAAGGGTTATTACTGTCTATATCTTAACCACAGAGCAGTCATGAGTCCTAGTCTGAAGGACAGTAGAGTTCATCCATACTACCTGGAGCCACTGCGTTCATCCACAGTGCGTTTCCAGAGATTATTTTTGTCACATACCATCCGGCATTGGAATGAGCCCCCTCCACGGTGTTTCCCGAGCGCAATGACATGTCATTCTTCAAATGAGGCCTATGGAGAGTAACGGTATGCAGCGGCATGGCTAAGCCCCTGGCATTGCTGAAGTCCATGGGCGACGGTAACCATGTCGTATGCTCGACTAGCTACAGGGACAATAAAATAAAAAAATATTTGTAATGTCACACATGTAGTGAATGACTTTCTTTTAGTGCGTAGGTGGTTGGATTAGCTCACGGTCCACCTGGTGTTAAGTGGTAACCAGAGCCCATAGACATCTACAACGAAAAATCCGCCATTCACTTTGAGACAACTAAAACTCATTAGATCTCAGTTTAGTACAACGGCTTTCCTTTCGATACAAAACGCATTACTGCTTCACGGCAAAAATAGGAAGGGTGGTGGTGTCTACCCGTGCAGACCCAAGACGTCATACCACCAGTAAAACTGGTGACTGTGGTGTGTTTACCAAATTTATAATGAAGCGCTGATCGTAAAAGACTAAGAACCTATGTTTTACGTTGTTGCAGGACAAATCGAAGCAGACCTAGAGCTAATAATATATCGAGCAACATACAACATCTAATGCCAATAGGTATGTATTATATATATATCCAGCATTCTGTATCCATTTGGTTTGCATCGGGATTCCATTCTGGAAAATCTACAGATTGTAGTGCGCATATCAGAATCCCTAAGTCAGTATGCTACGTTTTTGTTACTGGTTCTATTTGTGGCCAATAAAGTTACCCAGCAACTGGAATACTACAGATACCGTGAGAGGGCGTAGCCACAAGGGTAGGTACCTTCGTGCCTATATCTACCGGGAAGCACTCGTGACCTCCGGATTAAAGGGCGAAACGCCCAATACAAATAACATTGAAATTTTAACCTCATGTCTCAATATAGCAGCAAGTCTGTCTGGACTGATATCAACTTTATGCTGGTGGGGCGTAAACTCGTTAATTTATATACTAAATCTTACAATAAGGATTTGACTTAAGAACTAAAATCCAGGATTTTAAACGAAACAACAATATCCAAAAAACAAATCTGATTTTTGAGGTGAAGTACCAATGGGGTTAATGGACGGTATGAGCGCGACCAGGGGCACCACTAGAAAGTGGGAACAGAAGAAGGTCCAGATCAGGACAATGGAGGGAGAGTTCTCAGTCACCATGTGGGCTACAGGAGAAGACGATGGTAAGACAACAGTTCCCGAACTGATAAGACATTATTATTGAAGATTTATATGACTGTTCTGTTTTAAATTTGATTTGTTCCTTGTATTTAGTGTGTAGTGAGTTCAGTTTTAATTGTAATGTAAGATCTTTGGAAATAAACATTGTCATTACAGACATTGACAGTCTTCAAGGGATAAGTGATTATTTTTTAATTATTATTCTACTTAGCTAATAAATAATATACTTACTTGTATTTCAGATGAAACGTCAAATCCTGAACCAGACCCTGACTACACAGAGTACATGACTGGGAAGAAGAATATATTAGGAAACGAATCTATGCCGGGTAAGATAGACGGAATATACAATGCATCAATGTTGGGAAACACTGACTATTTTGTCACAGCCTTAGGACAATTGGCCACCAGTAGATACCACTGGTGTATTACTCAGAGAACGTTGCTGCACTTTCTCTGGGAAAACTAGTAGTCTCGCCACACAGATGGGGAGAAATGGGGGTGCTATTCTAGTTCGCCGCATAGATTTTCATGTGGACATGAAAAGTTTTTGGAGTGTATTTTTTTAATAATTTAATAATTAAGTTATAATAATTATACTAATTTATATTAGTTTATAATAATTTAATAATCATAGTAATTTGAAATGTAGGTAGTTCCCACGAAATACACCTTGGGTTGTTGACCCTCAGCGTCAGCTGCTTAAGAAACTCTAAAACATGTTATGAAACTAGTTAACATTTTATTTATTTATTATTACGTGATTATAATTCCAGGTCTAGATTTATCGGATCCGAAGCAACTGGCGGAGTTCGCGCGGCCCGGACACAAGATCAGACTAAAGAAACCATCCCCAGAAACGTCAGATAGAACAATAGGTAATGTAGTTTCTGTTGCATTACAAACTACTGGTGTTGGTCTACAATTGCCCATGGACATCACAGCATGAATACCGCCCACCGACATGAGCTCGAAATCTCAATAGTATGATGTAACAGTTGTTCCAACCTTCGAACTGGAACCCAAGAATACTTCTCAGCAGAAATAGTAGTTGTCTCCTCTATTGGCAATATATATTCCACAGCTCTCAGTGGAATTGTTTTGTATAAATATAGTTTATTTTTGCATTGTTTGATGTCCGTGGTATGTGACCATGTAAACTTGAAATTGTTCTAAACTTTGGCCAGTAAAAGTAACTTTAATTATCTGTACAATTTGCAAAAACTGATGATATTTTTTACTGGGTGAACGAACTCACAATCCACCTGGTTTTGAATGGTTACTGAAGCTCATAGACATTAAAAATGTCAATGCCCTTACTACCTACTAATAAAAATTACTGTATTTAATGAATCTTTTATTTTGTTTAGCATGTCCACACAAAGGCTGCACGAAAATGTTCAGAGACAATTCAGCGATGAGGAAGCATCTGCACACGCACGGACCGAGGGTGCACGTGTGCGCCGAATGTGGTGAGCATCGCTGAGCCTGCGGACTCACGCAGCAGCACGGTGGAGAGGGTCTATATTTCATCACTAGAGGGCAACATAACCAAGTCATAAGATTTATTAAATGCCGTCTCCATGATCGTATTGAGACCATTAAATTAGATTTATAATTTTAATATGTATACTGTTTGCCTAATAAATTAATATAACTCTGAACTCATATGCAACACAATTGACGACTTGGACCTCATGTCTTGAAGTGGGTAGCGTCATTCATATTGTAGTGTTTGAGCTCTCGCAATCACCTAGAGCTCCTAGACACTTTCAAAGTTTTCACTTTTGGTGCTTCGACTCACGAATCCAGTACATAACTTGAGGTAGGATGTAAACTCACCTGCCTATCTAAATCGTTCCAGAAAGGTAGATGGATACGCACACTGAACTCTATTCATTTATTTATTAGTTTTCTGTTAATGCAAACCAATATGGACTCTTTTCAGCATAATGATTATTCTTATTTCAGGAAAAGCCTTTGTAGAAAGCTCTAAATTGAAACGACATCAGCTAGTACACACCGGAGAGAAGCCCTTTCAATGTACGTTTGAGGGCTGCGGGAAGAGATTCTCACTAGATTTTAATTTGAGGTATGTTTATCGCATTGAGCGATTGCTTTCTAGAGTCAGTTTTTCCACGACTGATATTTGTAAAAGTCCGTAATAGTATTTTTAATTCATGCTACAAAGAAACAGCTAAATGTATTAAGAAAAAATCTCTAAAAATGGTATTATATTTATATAGTGATGTAACTGGTCACCGTCTCCATTGAACTCGATGAGCGAAGTAACCCATAGACACAGCCCACTAAGTTTCTCGCCGAAGCTTCCCAAATCGCGATTCCGATCCGGTGATAGATTCACTCAGTTTGAGCCTGTGAGCTCACCTACCCGTCCGGGCGTATCTGGAATAGCCTCTTAGGCTACCAGCCAATAGGTCCGGAAAAGGTGAAGTTTGCATTCTCAGAATATAAACAGAGAGCACCAAGAGCGAGGTAAACATTAGAGACTACCTGTAGACTCCAATTAAAAGAAGTTGAAACCGTGCACTATAACAGTCCGACCACCTGCCAAATCTTAGGCACACAAATCTAAAAATATCCACAGTATCTTACCTGCGAAAACTATCTGAGATTTACCTTCAGGGGTGAAGTATAAGTATGGAGTGGGTATAGAAGTAACATAAGTTAGTCTTGTCAAACTTTGTATGAAGAGAGCTGTTTAATCTGCCAATCAAAAGCATAAGAAAGGATATAATAAAAATTTAATACAAACTTAGACATGTTGAATATTAAAATATCAATAAATTTATTCTCCTACCTTCGCTGAAAGTTCGGTTTTCGTCCCAGTGTACAGGGAAGAAAGTCTAACTTTTCCTCCCTTGGTACTGACAAGTGCGCATGCGCGTTAGTGTCTACGTCTTCTCTCACGCACCTAAAATTCTCCGCCATTGTGGTGCTCGGGTAATTTGCAATATTGTTTTTAGTGTAAAACTGTTTTTATACGCGGGATGAGATGTCCAACTTTTCTCCCTTGGTGCACTATGTACTATTTCTTATGCGTTCGTTGCTTGCTTTGTGAAATTTCTGTTACCTTATGGGAAATTTTTTATTTTGTTTTTCCAGAACGCACGTCCGCATCCACACTGGAGATCGACCGTACGTTTGTCCCTTCGACGGTTGCAACAAAAAATTCGCTCAGAGCACAAACCTGAAGTCGCACATACTAACGCACGCGAAAGCGAAGTGAGTACAGAAATATCTGTTGTTTTTTATTATTGCTTAGACGGTTGAACGAGCTCAGCGCCCGCCTGATGTTAAGCGACTACCGGAGCCCATGGACATCAAAAACGTAAATGCCGTCACTCACATTGAAGCAATGCAGTCAAAGTCTAAAACTCCCAAACTTATTTTGTCTACTGCCCTCTTTGAGAATAAATTACTTTTTAGCGGCGCCTCCATTTTTAAAAACCACTATAGCGTGAACTCAGTTAGTGTCAAAGAATCCTTCTAGATGAAATTACAAATCGCCTCCCAAGTCTCTACACAACACCCCCATTTTTTTCAGTCTCTTACCCCCTTTAGACCTGCAGCGCCCACAGGGGGGCGTTATCGCCCACTTTGGAAAAGGCTGGTTTAATGTATTGCGTGACGACTCTGTCACTCTTATATACACAAATGTTTAACTTTAAAAAATAAAATGGCGAAAATCTGGAAACTATTTTAAATTTCAAATTTATAAAATTTATATTTTTACAGATCAAGAAATTCATTATCAAGGAACGGCGGGAATTCGTATGAGTCGGCACGAACGACCCCACAGTACGTTCAATTGGAAATGTCACCGGATGATTCTAATCCACAACTCGTGTTCTACACGCACGAGTGAAAGGCTGTGATCGAGCAAACAACATGGTTACTACTGTGCTATTTTGTGTGGTTACTGATCGGTCTTGTGTGATTTCTACACGGCGTAAGAACAACGGTGTTCCGTGATAAGTGCATTGTAAGAGGAAACTGGAAATATGTGACCAAATAAACGACATAGTGTAAATTTGATAAGTTGTAAATAATTTATAGTCTACGTTAATATAAATGGTGGGTGAGAGTGACTCTTTAACTAAGTGATGTGAAAAATGAAGCGCTTCTTTTGATATAATAAAATAATGTCCATTGTACATGTACTAATATTTAGGTAAGTAGTTTATCGGTCCAAATTTTATTTCATAATTAATCTAAATGTTTCTATACACTTATTTCTCCTAAGAATCATACAAAATGGAATGTCTTCTAAACTTCAGCTCAGCATTGTCATAAACAACTGTGAAAATTTACATTGCTAATATATTCTAAGTTAGTGGAGATCAGAACAATATTGGTTTATGAGTGCTGGTTAAGAACAGCTATTGTAAGATCATCGGAAACTATTGGTGATGCATTGTAAATTTTTGTTAGGTTTCTTTGTACTTGTTACTGACTAAACTTTTCTTTATGGTCCTTCGATTTTTGGGTCGGGGTGGGGGTGGGGGGTAAGGGTTTACCCCCTGCACCATCCCCACTAAGTGGAACTCCATGGTTATGAAGATATCCACGGTTAATATTTTGAGGTTAGAATATATCAACATAATTATATAGTCAACATAGGGTTAAAATCTCAATTATGGTCCATTATTTTTGAGTCGATGAGATAGGGGTGTAAGGGCTTACCACTGCACCATCACCAAGCCGCAGATCCCCATGATTATGAAGATATCCATGGTTAATTTTTTAGATTAAAATTGCATTATTTAGTCAAACTCGAAGGGAGCTAAAGTTTGAATCCGCCTTATCTCCGGCGCTGCGGGAAAAGTAGCCCTTCCGCCCTTGCGTGCCGTAGTACGGTCACTCCTGCTCCGTCACAGCGGGCGAGGACTGTAAGTTCTCTCTCCGCGCCTCCGGTTTTTTATATACACTAGGCGTAGGGCAGACAAGCCAGGTGGAATGTGAGGTGCTCGCTCTGATTCGGTTTTCGATATTTTTCGAATATTATTGCAATTTTATTACCAAAACACGAGCAATTTTACTATTTTATATTTAATCTTATTTAAAAAGATATTTTACTACAGACAGTTATAAGACGCTATAAAAAAAATGCGTCATTTCACAATGTAAATTTTGTTACTTTTTGTGTAAAAAAGTCAATATAATTGCTTATTACAGCAACAATTACTGTGCACATTATTACAACAAATTTACCATGTGAATATATTAAAAAAGTAAAATATATTTCGGTAAAAACATGACATAAAATTTTATAAAATACACTTTTACCGTGAATGGAACATGAAACGTCAACTGTGACGTCTACCTTGACGATTATTCCAATATTTATGAAACTTTAAAAAATTATATCTCGTAAACCGTGAGTCTCCGCAACTTGAAATTTTGCAAAAAGCTTTCTATTTATGAGTACTATCTACAAAAAAAATTTGTGAACTTCCAAATCGACGGACTATAAAGGAAAGTTTAGCCGCCAGGTTGAGTTAACTTTTACGCGATGGAGAACGTTAAAAGAACTCTCACTAAGCACACTGCTCTGTCACTTCTTTCCTTGTGTAATGCATATTTATGTAGTCATATGTTTATGTTATCATTTTACTGTAAAAAGTCCAAATGAACTGAATGATAATTTGTGAAATTCATGTCATAAGACATTGCTGGGCTGAATGTTACTTTAACCAACTCAAATAATAATCTTAGAAATAGCGATAGTACTAATACTCTAGTATCTTTTCAAAACCTACCATTGCAGGAGAGATTTTCTTATTAATTTTCTGGAATATCATTGTCTTCAATACTGTTTACGATATGCAACTGTAATGAACTGCTTTACTCAGTATAAAATTTTTTCTTCAAACATTAATAAGATAACAAACAGACAATTCTAACGGATTTACATTGTCATAGCCTAATAATTACCTATACTTCAAAGTAGTATTTACACTTCGAAGCTTTAATACCCATTTAGCTAAATAAATAAAATTGCAAGCCAATCCGAACCCCTAAATTTGCTTGTGTGATAGCACTTCCTATTTTTACATTTTATAGTTCAGGATCTGATAATTGACTATAAGGTAAACACACTACACATTCATATGCGAACTAAATAAATAAATAAATTACAGCACTCTTTATGATTCAAATAGTGATCCAATATGCGTCACGATGAAAATTTTAGTTCACTATAGTGAAACCAATGTTGCAATTCCTGTTGTGTTGTATGTAGCATAAATCTTGAGTTATACCAGATCGGTACTCGATTACATTAATATCGAAAGGTAAAGTGGAAAATTACACTTTGTGTAATTTACAAAACTTTATTTTGATGAGTAAATTTAAAGGAATGTATTTAATTCTCTCATGTTTTTACACCATTTAAAGTTAAACACATTTGAATTGAGCTCGGATACTGATTATAATATGAAATACTGCGTGGTTCATTATTATACGGTAGAATTGGTAGTGAGTTTTCAGCTAAAAGAAAACCTCTCTANTGGAAAATTACACTTTGTGTAATTTACAAAACTTTATTTTGATGAGTAAATTTAAAGGAATGTATTTAATTCTCTCATGTTTTTACACCATTTAAAGTTAAACACATTTGAATTGAGCTCGGATACTGATTATAATATGAAATACTGCGTGGTTCATTATTATACGGTAGAATTGGTAGTGAGTTTTCAGCTAAAAGAAAACCTCTCTAGGAAGCTCACAAGATACCGTACCATTTACAAACTATAACAGCAGTTCAGGGGAGTACAGTTAGTGAAACTGAGATATCTGGTCACTGTTATAAGTATGTAGATATATAACATTTGTTATGACGTTAGTCTTCCACGGTTAATAAAGATTTACTTATAGGGTATCTTAATTTTTTTCTGGGTTTAAAAGTCCTGTGAATAACTGCTCCCCTCCACAACATTCATACAGTGAATCTATGCATTTCTACTAAATTTGTCCACAAACATTTTGTTTCTAATTTTAACAAGATTTTTAAATCTTAAATTTATGAAATTTCTATATCATCGGTATATTTAAGAATGTAGAGAACCACAATGTGTGCCCTTTTGAAGTATTTTTAATGTCATTGTGCAATATACGTAATAATATGTTAACTGTGAAGTTATTACTTAAGCATTCTTATGCTCTCAACTCGACTACTGATTGCTGACCTGGTAACACTTTGGAATTACCTGACAAGGCAGGTCAAGTCAGGTTGGGGAATAGTATCTATAGGACATTGTGTTCTCGATATATGTATGAACTAATTAGAGTATTCCTACCAAGTTTGGTCAAATTGATGGGTAAAAAAATCTATTTTATTATTCAATGCATATAATAGGTTCTTGAAAAAGAGGAAAACATCAGAAGTAAAGAGTGAAGAAAATATATGCATATTCTAATGGTCTTAAAGTTTGAAAACACTCAATTTGACCACCAGTATTGATAGGTTGTGTTAAAAGCAATGAATTCCGAAATCATTTGCTTATTTAATATTCAAGAGCTATTTTGAATGTGTTTAACTGTAATGAAATATTTAATTTTCGGTTTTTATTTCTGTTTTCTTCTAATTTGAAATATGGAGAGAAGTGTTTTGTAATATATAATATTGTAAGGTTTTTGTAATGACTGATGTAAATAAATTAGATATATTTTACATAATTTTGTAGTTTTTTTTTGTTTAATTATAAACAAAGTCTCTGTGCAACTGCATTTTAGTGCATCTATCTATTGATCGCGCGTTATTTTTGCGATTAGTTTGAAAATGGAACTTTAATCATTCAACAAATAGACATGATTAATTCGTTTAGTTTTGAATTAGCGGTTTTATTTTCTGAAATTGTTTCTATCACAGCATCGTGACATTTCCGTTTAAATACAATTATTCTAAAATTTATTGCTAGTAGTTTTTTGGTGGTACTCGAAATTAAAGATATATATATATTTTTTCCCTCTGTATTCGCTGGTAGCCCCTGTTACTGGTCGTAGGACCTCTTGTGAGTCTGCACGGGTAGGTACCACCACCCTGCCTATTTCTGCTGTGAAGCAGTAATGCGTTTCGGTTTGAAGGGTGAGGCAGCCGCTGAAACTATAGAACTTATATCTCAAGGTGGGTGGCGCATTTACATTGTTGATGTCTATGGGCTCAGGTAATCACTTAACACCAGGTGGGTCGTGAGCTCGTGAACCCATCAAAGCAATAAAAAAAATGTGTCATTCGACTAATAAACAAATGTTCGTAATCGTGAGTTCGTTTTTAATCACAGTAGGATGGTGTTTATCAAAAAAATCTAAGATAAATGTATCCGGATACCTTTACATTTATGGATTGATTAAATAAATTTCCGAGGTGCAGAGAATTATTGAAGTATTTCCTGAAGCTGCCAGTACGTTTAAAAAATGAATTACTTGAACGGTTTACAATTGAAAAGAACGAATATTGTATTCTTGTACACAAATGCAGTGACGCAGCGAGGGGGAAGGGGGAGCATCATGCCCCGGGCGCTATTCACAGAGGCGCCAAATAATCCGCAAAACAAAAAATAAATCTCTAATTTTTATTTTTAGTATATGTAATTGATTTCAGCAAAATATATTTTAAATTTAGTGCCAGTGTAATATAATAAATTTTAATTCGTAAATAAAAAGAAAAAAGGAACACTAGGTAATAGTCTAAAATAGGTAAGTCAAAAAGGTATTGTGCCCGGGACGCAAGTTAAGCTTCGCTACGCCACTTCACGAATGCAAACTTCATACAAAAACTGAAGGAACGGGGTGCGAAATAAAACACAATTCATAGGGGGGAAATCGATATTATCTGAATACATTATTTGTATTCACACATTTTCTAGATATGACATCAAATAGTGCGCGCCCACCATTAAAAAAAATCATAAACGCAAAATTACAAAAAAAACACACGTATTAAGATTAAATTAAAAAAAAAAAAAACTCATACAGAAAATAAATGCGACATTGTTCCCGAGAACGTTTGAAAAATCTGTGATTTTGACACCACACGAACGAATGAGCGAATTGACCGGGTGGATTGGAATGTTTTAAATAGGCTTGTCTCGTAATAGAGACGAAAGATTCATCAAAATTAAAACTAATTTTCAATGTCAAAATTAAGTTCTTAACTCATTCATTCATCTGAATTCTTTTTAAATCAATCTCATTCACTTGTTTTTTTTTTTCATACAAATATTCGATTTAAATTGCATTTAAAACTTATAATTATTACGTCTTACAGATAATATTCATTACAAAATTAATCCTATTTAATTAAAGATATTATACAACAAAAAAATATAAACATCTGTACAAAACTGCAATTCTTAAATATAATTGGTAGACTTAACCTAGAAGCATATTGTGAATTAAAAAAAATATCCTATCATTCGTTCCAAGTGAATGAGAATTAGATTATTAATTGTTGATTTAATGAGATTCTTTGAAATAAACATAGCCTTTGTAACCTTGTCTAAGCAGGGCGAATATTATGTACCGAAAGCGAAATTGTACCTATAAATAAATTATTACCTTTACCGAGCTAGCAGTCCTAAATGCGACCATCCACAATAACAGTAAATAATCTTGTTAAAATTCATATTAAAATATTAATTTCATTACAAAATAGAACTATTTCGATAGAGTAAAAATAAAACTTTTTTTAATTTTTTATTTTCTCTATGTCAATATTGAAATTTGATTAAAAAACGTTCGCTTTTAGTTTACACAATATTACGACGTAAAACACACATAATAAAAATAAAAATAAAAAAATCTAAAAATAAATAGAACAATTTAAATAACAGAACGAAGAGTTTTAAAAAATTTTTTTAGACTTCTAAAAATGCATTTTTTTTATCTTTTCTTTTGGCAATCTCTAAGTCAATTCGAATCATTAATTTAGCACCGAATTTTGGCTAAAATTCAATTTTAATTTTAAGTCTAGACAAACAAATAAATATACAACACAAAAGCGCCATCGGTTGTTTTCGTTCAATGCGTATCACATTTTCTTAGATTGACTAGTGTACGTTTTATTTTTGACCATGTCATTAACAGACCACATAGCCAAACACCGACCAGATGCGTAGAACCGTTAATTGTCGACAGGATAAGGGCAAAACAAAACAATTATATACATATCGACACTTGAAAGGCAAACGTGACTAAGCGACAATAACTGCTTTGTACATAAATGATAGGCAATAACCATATTCGATGCGCAAAAAAAAAAATATTTCTGGGTCTATTAAAATCATTTCAACGCTACAGCTAGATTCGTTAAAATAGATTTTTTTTCAGGTATTTCAGCTATAAATTACTCTACTGTAAAGTTCACGCATTGTCGCTTAGTCACGTTTGCCTTTCAAGCGTCGATATGTATTCGTATAATTATTGTTTTTTTTTTACTTCAAAGTTCAAATGACTTTTATGACATGTGACAGTAAATAACGCGCGAAACCGCACAAGGCATTGAGATACGATCTTATTGCACTCCGGCTTCATTAAATATCAGAACTGCAATTATTTTAGGCTTAGTTTTGTATATGGAAGTTAGAAGTAAGAAGCACCCTCTCAGTGTATTAGAAAGTGTCCGCTGAAAGGGAGCAGCCAATTAGGTGGCGCCACAATAGCATGTGGAAGGATTTTAAAAATAGCGCCATAAGCTACCACTCTTTTTCAACTTGTACCTTATACAAGACGGTGCAACTTACCTCTACCCTCCATAGTCCAGTTGTAAACAGTAAAATTGCACCTCAAAAACTCACCCGCACAGCCCTAAGTGTTGATATACCAATATAGCAGTACTAAAACAAAATTGTTTCTGGTTCGCGTTCGCTAGCGGTCGTTTCGGCACAGGGATCTGCTCCTACACACCTCGTACGTGACAGTGACAGCAATTCCAAAATGTCAACCGATGGTCTTGTCAATTTTCAAAATTTTTAGCTTTTTTAGCTGGGCTAACTATAGTTAGGTAAAACGTATCCATAAAATTAAGTGAGGTTTTGTTATTTCATTCATATTGAACTCTGAAATTGATAAGCTTTTTTCGCTTTAGGTAACATCGGAGGGTAGAGTTTGTATTGCTCTACATGAAAAGAGTTACACATACTCCATAGAGAGTGGCCAGAATCGGCAGGCAGCGGCTTGACTCTGCCCCTGGCATTGCTGAAGTCCATTGGCGACGGTTACCACTCACCATCAGGTGAGCCCTACGCCCGTCTGCCTACAAGGGCAATAAAAAAACGTTGGGAATCACCATGCATATCAAAACCAGATGACGTCACGTCAATTGATTTAATTAGTTTTTTGTTTACTCCGTTCATATTTTCATTTCATTCCATTAATTTAAAAAAAAAAGNTCTGCCCCTGGCATTGCTGAAGTCCATTGGCGACGGTTACCACTCACCATCAGGTGAGCCCTACGCCCGTCTGCCTACAAGGGCAATAAAAAAACGTTGGGAATCACCATGCATATCAAAACCAGATGACGTCACGTCAATTGATTTAATTAGTTTTTTGTTTACTCCGTTCATATTTTCATTTCATTCCATTAATTTAAAAAAAAAAGTCCAAATATGTGGCCATTTAGCGTAGAGTTAAATTTGTACATTATTTAAAAAAAAACGTACACTCATATATGCCATAATCCCTGAAGAGGTTAAAACTTAATAAGGTCAGTTTTCAAAATCATTTACGTCAAAAACATTTCGAAATTTTGGTTCAGGCAATAGTTAGATAACTTCTTCATGAATCCTCACTTATTCTTACAATACAAATAAAAAAAAACAAACACAAAAAACATAAAGAATTCATTCCTCATTGCATGAGATCACTTATATATACATATATATATATACATATATATATATACATATATTTATATAAAAAAAAAACATCCATTAAAATCAGTCTAAGTAGGTATAAAGAAGGTACATCTTAAATGATTTGTTTCAATGATTCATTCGAAGCTGTAAGATAAAGCCATTTATTTACTTTTTTTTACTATCATAGGATAGAAGGCACTGATGCCCTTGATAATAATGATTTAGAAGTCGTCGTGGCCTAAAGAATAAAGACGTCCGGTCCATTCGTATTGAGCGATGCACCGGTGTTCGAATCCCGCAGGCGGGTACCAATTTTTCTAATGAAATATGCACTCAACAAATGTTCACGATTGACTTCCACAGTGAAGGAATAACATCGTGTAGTAAAAATCAAACCCGCAAAATTATAATTTGCGTAATTACTGGTGGTAGTACGTGTTATGAGTTCGCGCGTATAGGTCCGCCTATTTCTGCCGTGAAGCAGTAATGCGTTTCGGTTTGAAGGGTGGGGCGGCCGTTGTAACTATACTTGAGATCTTAGAACTCATCTCTCAAGGTGGGTGGCGCATTTACGTCGTAGATGTCTACGGGCTCCAGTAACCACTTAACACCAGGTGGGTCGTGAGCTCGTCCACCCATCTAAGCAATATTTTTTTTTAGTTCGGACACTTTGAATACTTGAATCGATAGATCGACTCTATTAATGTAGGTACAGGTATTAGGCATCGACCTGAACGGACGTGTCTTAGAGCACGCGAATAGTTCTAAATTATTTTGCTCTGAATTTAGTATCGATATTTTGTATTTTTTTAAAAGTCCTACTTCAGCAATTTCTGCACAATATGTGAAAAATAAGCTCCGCACTAAAAAGGTTTAAATCGTAAAAGTATGTAGTTTTAGTTACACTATATTATACCTTTCTCTTTTTTTATTTACAGACAGAGCGGCTGTCACAGTCATTGTTACGAAAACCAGCGAATATTCGCGGTCGGGCTTATAATTTAGGAGGTACACCTTAGGTTTCACTTCGAACGCCCAAGACATAATACACAAACGTCAAACTTGTCAAACGTCATCGCTTACGATGCCTACGCATCGAAACGTCAAAGTTGCCAAAAGTCAGAACTGTCACACTGACGTCGGTCAGAGACATCATCTGTCAACTCGAAGGGAATCATTGAAACAGACCGCGCTCACGTACGGCATCACGTCACACCGGACGCGAAACGTAAAATAATTAATTTAGGGATTAAAATTAAAAATAAAAATGGCATCAAAATCACAGACGTGTAAAACGTATCGTTAATAGGAATCATATTAATTGTCGTAACGTTTAAAATCACAAATGACGTTACAGACGAAACTAGATATATCACGTAACACTTACTAAAGTACACGAACGAAGTCTCGTCCCAAATAATAACTAAAACGATCCAAATAATAATAATAATAATACTGCGAATTAATTCAATAAACTTAAAATTACGAATAAATATATTAAATAAATTAATTCGAGACAAAAGTCTTTTAAATAAATCAGTACAACAAAATGACGGTGGACAACCTATTACGGTCGTATGACGCGCTTTCGATGACCTAACACTAAATATATTATTATATCGTCCGTACGCATTTACATATGATAATACATATATTAATAATAATAAACTATTATTCAAATTCATATGCATCAGACATGAACACATTGTGTTTGCTTCGAAGCGATTCGGGTCACGTGTCGCCTCACTATGACTAGTTAAATCGATAATTAATTTTGATCGGACCGAATCGATTTTAAACAAGTCTCCGTCACATTCCATCGTTTTGTTGGCGTTACGAAAAAATATCGCACAAGCGAATACGCCTTTGCCTGATAACAATAAAACCATCGAATCAGCTTCGGTGTTGCCAGCGTCAGTAAAAACGCTTGAAACATAAGGGAATGCGATACATTGCGCGTCACCGTAACCATTGCGGTTACTAAAGAAAACGCACGTGTTCAGTGACGTCACTAATTTTGGATTTTGGATTCTGGAGAAGTTCAAATGGGACCGGTAAAACAATTCGGCATATACGTACGGACGAGTCGAGTACACAACATCAATTTGGGAGGCAGACGAGGGGAAAGGCGCTTGCGCCGCACTTCCATTGTACTGACTTCTGGGTAATGGTTAAGGGGCATGCTGCTTCTTGGGCTTCTTCAGGTGTTCCTCGTCGGCGCCGGATTTGGGGACCTGGAAATTAACAAACAAAAAATATATTTAAAAAATTAACTAAACTTGGAATCCGTCATCAAAGCCAATCTTAAGTTACAGAGGTATGGCGTTTTCGATTTATTTCTTCTAGTTTCATTTGATTTCATTTCATATCATTTTTCATAAAACAGAATATGCAAAAGATTAGGCTGTATGGTGTTATGATGGTATGATTTTATTAACTCGACACTGGCAACAATGGCATCGAAAAAAACCGATTGCCATACTAAATAAAATATTAAGTACCAATGCAAATAAATATTTAAACTATAATATTAAAATATTTATACTAAGACCGTCGATTTCTATAATGATATGGAATATTCTAGAATGATTTAACAATAAATTATTTAATTAAATAAATTATTTAATCGTGAAAATTTGTTGAGTACGTATTTCATTAGAAAAATTGGTAACCGCCTGCGGGATTCGAACACCGGTGCATCGCTACATACGTATGGACCGGACATCTTATCCTTCAGGCCACGACGACGTCAAACACTCCTCGTAGTGTGACAGAGTACGCGAATGATTTGCGCAGCAAGATCAAAGAGGTGCATGAGCATGTCAGACAGACAGGCGAACAAGCCTCAACTCCAGATTAATGTACCTACCTCGGTATAACGCTCCCCCTTCAACGAGACGATCTTATTGTCCCTGTACCGGACCATCTTTTTGGGCTCGATCTTGGGGGCCAAGGGCCTATGCTCCTTCGTACCAGAGTTTTCGTCCACGTACGAGTAACTAGAACGTTCAAGTGGAATTGTATACTCTCTGATGCGTCACGACCTGGCTAAGGTTGATTAGGTTATGTCGATGTAAATGCCGCCAAGCTTGAGACGTGTGGTCGTAGTCTTAAGAATATTGTACAACTACTGCCCTGGACCTGGAGGGCTTTTTATTTTTAACAGACTTCAAAGAAGCAGTATGTTCTTGATTCGACTTTTTTTTTTAGATGCAAGGATTATTGGTGACCCGAAGGCCTTTCCAGTTTCTCTAAGAGTGGTGACGAGCAAAGGAGACCTAACCACTCGAAGGTAGCTGCTTCGCGAATGCATCTACAACCTGATCGGGATCGCGACCCGCTGAGAAGATCCGGCGAGAAACTCAGCGGGCTGATGTATGGGTTAGGTTGCATGTCGAACTCCTCGAGTAAGGTTACAGGGTCCCTAAGCCTGCCCCTAGCGTTAGAATTGCAGGCGTCTAATAGCTGTGTTAATGTGCCGGATGGAGCAGATTTTGACTGGTTTTTTTCCAATATGCGTTAACCCCGAACATTTTTCGAAGTGAATCTATTTCGTGTATTTACAAACTGACGCTTCTCTTGTGGTCCCGTTTAAATCTTATCAAGATTCGACTTTTATTTATTTATTGCTTAGATGGGTGGACGAGCTCACAGCCCACCTGGTGTTAAGTGGTTACTGGAGCCCACAGACATCTACAACGTAAATGCGCATCCCACCTTGAGATATAAGCTCTAAAGTCTCAGAACAGTTACAACTGCTGCCCCGCCCTTCAAACCGAAACGCATCACTGCTTCACGGCAGAAATAGGCAGGATGGTGGTACCTACCCGCGCGGACTCACAAGAGGTCCTACCACCAGTTAACTGTACGACTTGTAGTTTTTTAGTTATCATTAATGATGTATGTTCAATTGGCTTCGACTGCGTTAATTTTGCTGAAGAAGCTTCACGACAAACGACAAACCAAAAGCACACATTAAGCTTACCGATCGATTATTCTCTGCTTGACCTCTTGTTCGTCAACCGGCTTTGTCCGGTGGACCGGAGCGTGTAGAGCCGACTGAGTGAGGCCCAACTCCCTGCGGTGGAGCAAGGTCGCGGCCGCTCTCTCCACATCGCCAAAAGCAATTGAGAGGCAGTGCTTTATCTAGGAATCGGGGATGCCGATTAAACGACCGGTGTTCTAGAATAACACCCCTCAAGCCTTTGTCAAACAGAACGCGTCATTAGCGCGCGTCAGACCGCTAAACTGACGCCGCGCTATGACGCCGAGATGTGTTGTACTACTATGGGAACATACCGTCAAACAGAGCCCCAGCGCTATAAGTACGCAGCGCTCTGTCGCGGCGTTAGGACGCTTTGACGTCAGGCGATGTAATTTTTTACAAATTTTATTTTAGCGTCGGAGTGAATGTGTATTAAAATACTAGATAATGCCCGAAAAAATGATATAAATAGTTAGAAAATACCCATGCTTATACAATGCCACATCTGAATCACTTGATTTCTTAATACTTTTAAAATTTCACACTGCTATCGAAAGGCACTATGATTTGGCGAATGCGTTGCGTCAAGGAGCGTTAGACTCATCTAGTCAATTGGTGTGACATGAAAAGAGCGCGACGTTAAGTACGCGACGCTAAGTACGCGTTCTGTTTGACGAAGGCTTTAATTGGGGGGTCGTGAGGCGACTAAGGGATTCACTGGAGATTAGGCTGTCGCGTTCTCTGACAAGCGGCCTTAATTCGGGTAGGGTGTCTTCTGAGCTCGCACCGATAAGCACCACCATCCTGCCTATTTCATCCGCTAAACAATTATGCGCTCTGGTTTGATTGGCGATATTACCATGCACAATACAACTGTAACTTCGACCTCATGTGTCACGTTCTAAATGGGCTAAGATGAAAAAAAAGAAATGAAAAGGGTCCTCTAAGCGAACCCTGGACTGTCTTCAGAGGCTTAAGACCACTAACCTCCATAGCGCAAGCGTTAGGAAACATCTCAGCCAGCACCTGGCACTGATGAACTTCCAAGGTGGGTATGTTCACCCCGGCCCCTTCCACCTCCTTCTCAGAGCCGGAACTCTCGGAGTTCGTGTGGGAGCTGACGAAGAAGACAAATTTACTTGCACATGCATTTTGCCGATCCGGCGTGTGTTCAATGGATATGAGAACTTATCATACGTCATATCGGAACTTTAACTACATTGCTACAATAGGAGTTGCAGCCTTGACGTCTTCAAGCCTCTATCTTTCTACTATACTTCTGTAACTGTAATATCTTCAACAATTTACCTATCAAACCCCTATTTCCTTGGACTTAGGTTTCCTTGTTCGAGCTTGTGCGTATCTAAAGTACTGTGTGCTTAATTCGAGTTTTTTAACGTTCTAAATAGCGTAAAAGTTATCAGTAGTCATAGTCGCTTAGTCACATATATATGACAATGGAAAGAAAATTGTGACATAAATTGAAAAATATACATAAATAGTTAAAAGTTAAAAACGTAATCGGTACCGGTGCCGTATGCGTGAGAGAAAGGGAAGGCAGATTGGCGCCGTAACGCGTTACGTAACGAAGCGCTTTACCCTCCCATAAGAAGTTTTTACAGCCTTCCGGTGTCACAAGACCGGACAGCTTCTAAGCGATGCTTACCGATCATTCTTCGGTGGTGGGGGCAGCATCTCGGAGAGGCTCTGCAGGGTGAGGCTCACTTTATCGCTGCTCGAATCATCTGTTCAGAACAAACCATGATAAAGTTTCTGAAATTTTAGCCCCGATTTTTTAACACGATTTTATTAGCTTCATACGTACATAATAATATGTTATATTTAAGTATGCAACGAAAACTTTGAGGATGATTGTGATCCCCTTCAAAACGTCGGTTTGACACGTCTTTATATTGACGGACGAAAGCGGAATTGTCGTAACTTGAAAAGCCCAATTTCGTACTAGAGCCATACGTGTTATAAAATAAGGTACAAAGTCATTTAGCCTAAATTGCAAGTTATGACATTTCCACTTTCTCCCGGCGATATATACTAGTGGCCCCTCAGTAGTCGAAAATCAACTATACTAATTAATTGAAATTATAAGTTTGAACATTATTATGGTTTTATTGTCAAAGACTATAATTCTTTATTTCGCCAAGGCTACACTATAGAAAAATTTAAAGACAAACAATATTACTTAGTCTTAATCTATCTAGTCAAATTGAGTTGACCACAGACTTTAACAATAAATATATTACGTGCGTGTGTTGTCAAATACACGGTAGTGTGCGTAATATTTTTTTTAGGGTCGATTCGACCAAACAAGAGTAAATCTTATTCTTAGAATAACTCGTCAGTTAATCGAGAGTAAATCAATTTTACGTTTTACCAACTACAATTCTAAGAATAGTGGGCCTATTCGGGAATTGTTACTATACCGCCGTTTCGCACGGAATAACGGAGCTATTCCTAGAATAAAGTAATGGCGTCTGTCAGTCCAACATCTGATTTCTGTCATTTCATAAATATTTATTCTGTTTTAATTTCAAGTCAACGCAATGCACTAAATGATTATTAATAGTCTGAATGCAACGTTTAAACGAAAAAAGATAAAACCACACGACAAAACTTGACAATTCCCTCAAACAAACAAGAAATAAAAATAATACGTTTGACAGCTGGATATCTTACACAACAGCTACTTTTTCACACTAAAATACGGCAAAATCGAGTTGACGATTTGTATGCTCTTACACTATGCCGTTGAACAACAACATTTATTTGCCGGATTTTATTTTTGTTCACCATTCACTCTGCTATTCGCGTATTGTTATTCCTAGCGCAAGTATACGTGGAAAAACGACTATGAATTTACTCGAGATTAAAATCATGGAATAGGTTATTCCTCGTATAGTTACTCGAGTTTAAATTTAAGTTTGGTCGAATCCGCCCTTAATCGATTTAATGTATTTTTTAGGCATATTTAAAAAAAAAATAGCATTCTGAACTCCTTCTCTATACTCTATATAAGTGTGGAAAATTTCATACTCCTCCGTCCGCGCAATTTTCGTAAAAAGGGATACAAAGTTTTTGCTTCACGTATTAATATATAGATGTAAAACTTATCTTTGTTTTATATACGCCATAAAACAACATAACGTACACATAAAGCATTAATAAATAATAAATACATAAATAAATAAAAACAAGACAAAACACGTTTTTAATTATATCAAGCCCAATTAAAATGCAGTAAACATTGTTTTTCTTTCATTATTTTATTCTTAATCAAAATGATTAATTGGACCCAAGTACCTACTCGTAATATAATTAAAACGATATCTTCGGTCCTTGATATGTAAACGGTTTTTAATTGACTTAAATTCGTTCGATATAAAACAATAATTTAATTAATAAAACATGTTTTTTTATTAACCGAACAAAAGCATAATAAAATTCGCTACCTCCTTGACGCTTCTATACATATAGCGTATCAGTCTGTGATATAATAATATGTCATCTAACAAGCCGCCAATTGTACTCTTTTTTGTATTTAATGTTTCGCATTGTTTTTATTTTTGTTGGTGTACATTAAAAAACACTCTCTTTCTCTCTCTCTCTCTCTCTCTCGGCTATGATGTTTTGCAATCTCTTACCGTTGCCATTGCTGGAGTCGGTCTCCTCGTGACGGGAGATCTCGGCTTCCAGTTCCAGAACCCAGGAGCAGACCAGGCCCGCGTCGATGTGAGCGAATTCCGGTACGTAAGCTGCCATCATCTCGATGAATCCTAAAACAAGTGGATCTCCCTAAAAACGTGGACGCGACAAAAAAAGGATTTAAAAAAAATCAATATTTATACGCTACTATGTGTACCCATCCGCTTCGCTGGCCATTTAAAATTTACATTATTATTTCTCACCCCCACAAAGATTCTCATCATTAACTCCCCCGCAACTGGTGTAGGGAGTCCAACACTCATATAAATATTAGCCTATCCATTAAGTACATGTATTTTCTACATGGATACCAAGTTTCGAGTCAATCGGATGCACGGTTCGGTAGTTATAACGGAACATCCGTAAAAACCACTGTAGATTTATATATTAGTATAGATTATTGACGATGCTTCCGCAGATATTCGGAGTGGTGCTTATTATACACACTATTATCCCCTCATACAGCTAAATATCAAAACTGGTGAAGTGTCAAAATCATTTGCCCACTGAGTTTCTCGCCGGATCTTCTCAGTGAGTCGCGTTTACGATCCGGTGGTAATTTCAGCGAAGCACTACTCTTGCTAGGGCCACTGTTAGCAAACCCTCCCAGGTTGAGCACCGTGAGTTCACCTGTCAGCCATAGCGTAGCCGGAATAGCACTTTAGACTACCAGCAAATAAGTAGGGAGAAAAGGAATTCATCCCAATTACCCTTGAATCACGTGTGAAACTTCGGAATCCGCTGAAATTATGCTGTTGATATTATTACTTTTGCTGGCCATGTCGCGAGATATACAGATGAGAGATGGACTGCGAAAGTTACATCTTGGAGCGGCCCAACGGGCAAGAGAAGTCGAGAGAGACCACTAACCAGATGGGAAGACGATCTTAGACGAACAGCTGGCCCAAACTGGATAGACGTAGCACAGGATAGAGACGCTTGGGCATCTTTGGAGGAGGCCTTTACCCGATCCGGGGTTCTTGCTAATTAAATGTTACTGATTCATTACAAAACTCTTTTACATCCTAAATACTAATACATACATTTATATTTATTACATTTTTTTTTAAACTTTGTAAAGCAAGAAATAAATAGCTTATTATTATTATTATTACTTTTTGGGGCTTTATGCGTGCTTTGTACCGGGCTGATCAAATAAAACAATAACACGATGATAAATACAGATCCGACGTTACTTTACTGCATCACTCGTTCTCAAAAGCTACCGCGTTAGATGTTTCCCACCTGCATTCATCGAACTGACCTAGTTATGTTAATACAGGGCAGATAATAACGTCTCTATCCTTACCATGTTTGCATTGATTCCCGTATTTGCGCTAGGGCAACACTTCAGACAACAAAGAATGGGGTTTTGTTACATCGTTCTTCGGAAAATAGGTTAAGGGTAGCTTTTGTTGTGGTAAACACTCGATTCTAAAGCTTTGTGTATCGTTCAAACCGGTTATTAAAAAGGGTAATAAAACATTCAGGCGGTCATTTTGGACATCTGTAGCGCTATTCTGAGAGTCTATTAGTGCTCTTGTGCCGTAAAAGCAATGCTTTGTTAGCGATTCTGTTCCTTGTGTTTGCCTAACCATCCGAGTTTGGCTGTACTAAAGCCTAGATTTATTTTACGCATTAAATTAACGCTAATTTTGTTATTAATAGGTGTTTAGAAATGAAAAACGAACTATGTATTTCGAAAAACTTTTTATTGCTAACACTAAAAAAGTCGACAATAAGGAAAGATAGTTAAATGCAATTTTTTCATTGATTATTTTCTAATTGCAACGTTTTTCTCAATTCTTTTTGTTTTTCATTTTGTGTTATGTATTTTAATTCTAGGCGATTCGACGTCACAGGCGTTTAGTTATATAAATGCGGAGACATTCACCGTTAAGTTCGCTGTTTGTCTTCCAAATAAAATAAAGAAGCCATCTTACTCCGCACCGATCCGCTGCCGTCGGACCGGGGGGTCATAGCCGGGTCTTTGCCCAGCCTTGACCCCCTTAGGGGCGTCCTCCACGGTGGTGAACCGGGTCGCTCTAACACGTCGCCACATTAATATCATTAACAAAAAGTCGTCGTCGTCGTTAAGTCGTCGTGGCCTTAAGAAGTCGTCATGGCCTAAAGAAGTCGTCGTGGCCTAAAGGATAAGACGACCGGTGCATTCGTATCTAGCTATGCACCGGTGTTCCGAATCCCGCAGGCGGGTACCAATTTTTTTATGAAATACGTACTCAACAAATGTTCACGATTGACTTCCACAGTGAAGGAATAACATCGTGTAGTAAAAATCAAACCCGCAAAATTATAATTTGCGTAATTACTGGTGGTAGTACGTGTTATGAGTTCGCGCGTATAGGTACCACACCCCGCCTATTTCTGCCGTGAAGCAGTAATGCGTTTCGGTTTGAACGGTGGGGCAGCCGTTGTAACTATACTGAGACCTTAGAACTCTTATCTCAAGGTGGGTGGCGCATTTACGTTGTAGATGTCTATGGGCTCCAGTAACCACTTAACACCAGGTAGGCTGTGAGTTCATCCACCCATCTAAGCAATAAAAAAAAAACGTTCACACATGGGTTTAGAAATTACTAACTACAACTAAATGCTTTAACCACAGCCAATTGCATCAACAATCTCGCTAAGCTCTAAGCAGCTGCTGGGTCAAATGAAAGGCCATGCACATAAACCAGACCTTTAGACAAGAACATGAAATTTCAACAGGATCCGAATAACATTTACTGGAAATCAAACCTATACTAGCCAGAATTACCATCACTACGCCTACTAAGCAATATATGGCTCTCTATATCCATATTAAAAAGCCATATCATCTGTATATTCTGATTGGTAATATTTCAGATTATTTTTTTTGTAATGCATGTCTTATGATTTTTTATAGTTTTTCAGGATCACATAAGAATTATTTATATTGTAAATTGGAGTTGAGGAAGATCAGCAACCAGGTGAACGGACATTGTAAAGGACCACCAGCGTCCCAGGTGCCATTAAGGAGGCCAAATGCAGGCAATGTTGGAGTAAGCTGTTGGAGAAACTGGACCAAGGTGGTCACGACCCTCAGTAATGAGGATGTGACAATGAAGAAGAAGAAATTTTAAAATGTTTAGTTCAATCTACCGCAATAGAAAATTATTTCAATAGTTAAGATAGCAGTAAAATCTTATAGTCAATTTTAGATTCTAACAGATAAATGACACTGCAGCTTGGAGCTTAAAAGTGGACCTTGCTGTGTAGTCTACATTACTTTCAATATTCTAAATTTTTTTTTTCAGTTTTTTTTTATGATAAAGCTAATTACTGCTAATAGACAGTCAACTTATTTTTAATTAAGCTGAATATTCATATTATTAATATTTTGGCATATTAAAAATAAAAAAAAAATATAATATCCCATTAATTCTTTAATTTATTTAGGGCAGTATGTTTGTAGTTATCAGTGTTATATTTTTTTAAAATAAAACTACTCAGTTTCGTTTTTTTGTTTTTTTTTATTATTTTTTTTCATCATTACCTACTTATTTTGATTTATTGAGATGTTTATCTACAAGTAAAGTAAATTATAATGGACTACCTACCTTCAACATCGAAGCAGGGATCCTGGGATGCCTCTTCTAGTATCGAAATCACATAAGACAAGACTATATCGTCAATAACATTTAAGTCTGCTTTTGGAACGTTTTTAATGATAAATTGAAATAGACTCTCCTTAACAAAAGACTCTTGTTGCGCTATAGCACTCATTTTAGCTTAAAACAATGTAAATTACACGCAAAACAGACCGAAAATATAGTTAAAAGTTCTGCGGACACGGATCGATAGATAACTAGTTTACTAAATGTATGAAGTTGTAATATGCAGTTCTAGAATTTTATATAGTTCCAGTACCCCTTTGTGTGAGGGACCCGAGTTATTAATAGTATAATTCTAGGAATATTCCCTGAAAATCTAGGGGCCGACCTCAGAAAATCAATACAATCGAATGTTTTTTTATAAACACCTTTCTGTTATTGTTGGTGTTAGCAAACGCTATCGAACATACAGCCAGAGTTAAAGCGAGATATTTTTCATGTTTTTGTGCTTTAAATTGCAATAAAATTGTGAGCTATATAATATAAATAATATTTATCATAATCATGTTAGTCCTAATATTAATTTTAAAAAAAACGTAGTAATCAGATAAAGTTTCATTCCGAAACAAATAAATCAATATCCAATTGTTAAAAGTGATCAAATTTATTAATTATTAAAAGCAAAAGCTGAATAAGAAAAATTCTTTATGACAGTTTTATTTTTCCCAAAATTAGGCCATAGTTAAAGTAAGGATGGATGGTGATAAAATTACTAATGTATCCGAATATAAATATTGATCGGTCAAACTTCGCCAGCTGTTGAGAAAAAACAAATCCGTGGGATACCAAGTTTAAAAGGGAATGACGATTTTGCCTTTTACACACATACACATTTAAAATTTCCAAGACGTTCCCCGGAAACTCCTTCAATTCCACAGAACTGACTTTGAATGTAATTTGTCAATGTTGTCTGCATAGCTGAAAACGAAATTATTTTCCAATACTTTACAGAGTGAAACAAACGAGCATAATTATTTTACATTATTATGGTAACAAATGTAATAAACATCAAGGGGCACTGAGTCATGCAGATTTTGCTACTTGCGTCGTAGAACAGATCATTCTGGTTTGTAGTAAGAGGGGTCGTCGTACCCCCTTACGGGGGCACGGAACGGGCCTCGGGGCGAACCCCACTGCCCGGGCAGAAGCTCCCTGCCACGTAGGGCGGGGAGTTTCTGCCCGCTAGCAACTTGCAGGCAACTAGACTAACTAAAACTAACCAGGACTACTATTTACAAACACATAGACAATAGTCAGCAGACGAGGGGCCCACCACCGGCCCCATGCCGCGGCCCCACATCTACAAAACAGAGGGGGATCCACGGAACTAGTTTTAAGCGATCACCCGTTCCGGGCTCCCTAGAAGGGGAAGACCAGATCGGGGAGGGACCGATTTAAATCACTCTCCAGACGGGGGAGTAGTCCACCCTCGGGGGTGGTAAGAAGGGTCCCCATAGGGGGGCACCCCAACGATGTGGGGGGAATGACGAGTGTAGACAGCTCAGTCCCATGGGGGCACTCATTATAAGCACTTCTATATCGCTCCGATTAAACCGACTATCTTGCCATAGTGGGGGGTTCTAGTAGCTCCCTTGGTAGCGCCCGACCATCAGGTGGTCTGGCGTGCAAGGGAGCTATATTGTGGAGATGCCTGTGGGGTCCACCGTCAGCCCGCTCGTAGAGATTACGAGCTAGCCTCCGGATAAACTCCTCGAGCGACTCCTCATCTAGATCCCGGGCTATTACGAAATTTCTGACGTAACGGCCTGCTCTTACTAGCAAGCGGCCACCAACGCCAAATTGGCGTGGGCGGTCATCCTCATCGACCCCCAAGTACCGGACGCTGGATCTAAACTCGACATTAGCGTCACGGAGACTGAGCTGTCCCGGGACGACTCTTATGCGGACTGGACCGAAGAGTATTGCCGCGGTCTTCCCCACGTTGACCGCGACCCTCCATCGGTCCAGCCACTGGGGCAGTAAGTCTAAAGTCTCTGCATCCTCGAGATGGCCGCAGAGGGAATGTTCGATGACGCGAAGTAAGCGCTGTCGTCGGCAAACAGCGCCAACTTCACGTCGGTTTCCCACTCTCGGAGGTTGCCCTCGAGGGTGGGAATGTCGTTGGTGTAGAGAGCGTAGAGGAGTGGTGCCAGGACGCTTCCCTGGGGAACTCCGGCCTTGACTTGGCGCACCGACGACTTGGCGCCTTCGACCGCGACAAGGAAGGATCTTCCCTCCAAGTACGACCCCAGCAGTCGCACGTAAGCGTGCTGGAGGCCCATGTTCTGCAACAGCTTTTAGATCAGTCCCGCATGCCAGACACGGTCGAAGGCTTTCTCGATATCCGATATCGAGAAAGACTGAGGCCATGTACTGGCGCGCGTTGGATGGATCCGCCAAGTGATGCATAACGCGGACCAATTGCAGCGTTGCCGAGTGACCGCTGCGAAATCCGAATTGCTCGGGTCTGAGAAGGATGTGCGGCGACATCCTTCTCAGCAGCAGCCGCTCAAACAACTTGCCCACATGCAACAGCAAGGTGATCGGATGATAACTGGAGGGATTTCTCCTGTCCTTGCAGGGTTTGGGCAAGGCAATAATCTTGCCCAACTTCCAAATTCCCGGGAAGTGTCCTGTGAACAGAATGGAATTGAACAGCCATGTCATGTATGACATGACCGTTTCTGGGAAGGGTTTGTAGTTTACGCTACACTTACATGTAATTTGAGTTCAAAGACTAGAAGTTATAAAGAAGGAATGTGCCTTTTATCTTAATATAGTTCCTAGGGGTAAAATTACATTTTAATAAAGGGAAAGTTTTGACAAGCTTGAGAAGAAGAAACTTTTCGCCTTCAATTAAACTTTGGTCACCATTAAAAAATTTGAATCCAAGTATTGGCACAATCAACAACATAATTGAACTGAATTAAAAAAGTGATCTAGTAACACTGTTTTGACATACACACACAACCCAAAACAGTAGACGTGTAAAACTGTATTCGTTAGCGCCTCATAATTTTCTCATTACATCAAAGAAAAAGCTCAAGATGAGCTCTCTCAAGCGAGATGTTAAGGACGAAGATGATAACAGCAGTAACCCATACCAGAATCTTGATAAAACTATAGTACTTCAAGAAACACGAGAGTTTAATCAAACGCTCGTTATCCCGAGAAAATGTTCATTAATACTTACGAAAATACTGTATTTACTGAATCAAGGCGAAAATTTCACCACTCAGGAGGCTACGGACGCTTTCTTTGCGACAACAAAACTGTTTCAGTCCAAAGAAATCATGCTGCGACGTATGGTTTATCTTTGCATCAAAGAACTGAGTAAATTGGCGCAAGATGTGATCATAGTGACTTCCTCTTTGACTAAAGACATGACCGGTAAAGAGGATCTGTACCGGGCGGCCGCAATAAGAGCGTTGTGCAGCATCACGGACGCCTCTATGCTACAAGCTATCGAACGATATATGAAACAGGCGATTGTGGACAAGAACCCGGCTGTCAGTTCTGCGGCATTAGTCTCTGCGCTTCATTTGTCTTCTACCGCACCAGATCTTGTTCGGCGATGGGCTAATGAAGCTCAGGTATGTATCATACTGGTTCATACTAATATTATAAATGTAAAAGTGTGTTTGTTTGTACTCCTTTTTTTTATTTTTTTTTTATTGCTGAGATGGATGGACGAGCTCGCAGCCCACGTGGTGTTAAGTGGTTACTGGAGCTGATAGACATCTACAACGTAAATGCGCCACCCACCTCGAGATATAAGTTTTAAGATCTCAGTATAGGTACAACGGCTACCCCACCCTTCGAACTGAAACGCATTGCTGCTTCACGGCGGAAAATAGGTGGGGTGGTGGTACCTACCCGTGCGGACTCCCAAGAGGTCCTATCACCAGTTATTACGCAAATTATAATTTTGCGGGTTTTGATTTTTATTACACAATGTTATTCCTTCACTGTAGAAGTAAATCGTGAACATTTGTTGAGTACGTATTTCATTAGAAAAATTGGTACCCGCCTGCGGGATTCGAACGCCGGTGCATCGCTACATACGAATGCACCAGACGTCTTATCCTTTAGGCCACAATGACCTCAGGGACTTTAGGGTCGAAACGAAGCAAGAGGTTTATATGACTTTTCTAAAGTGGTAGTTTTAGTGCAGGCGAGTGATATAGGCCATTATATCTTTATCATTACCATATATACCTTTTACACTAAAAAAAATCTGATTGTCTCAGCAAACTTATTTGTTTTAAAATTAATATGGCAATTTAGAAAATTAGTTCACTGTATCCCTTAACCAAACAGATGAAGCCATGGGTTAGCTAGTTTAAATATAAATAGTGATGATTTCAAGTTCCATGGGCAAGGATGAAACTGTCCATTAAATATTCATCTAATGTGGATAGTAACATAGTACGGAAATAGTTTGAGCACAAGACAAATCTGGGATTAATACTGTGAATTTTCCGATAGCTAGAATGACGAGAAGAAATCATAGATATTGGTGTTTTGGATGAAAAGTATGTATGAGGTATTTAAACTTATTGATCAGAAAATAAATATTGATGTCAACACCTCAAAGGAAAACCCTTTGAGGTATCATTTTATACAAACCGTTCAGGAATCTAGAGTATTTGTCTTGTCTGATGTGTTGCAAACAGTTTTTATAGATTATACACTATATAACAATTCTGCAGTCCTATAAACTAGTCTACATAGGGAGAAAGAATACCGTTTTATATAAGACTACAGTTGTCAATAATCTGACTTGAGATACTTCTCTGATAGTTTTTGATATTGAAAACTGCAGAGTTTTCATTTTATTTTTTAATATTATGAGATCAATGCTGGTATTAAAATGTTACCAGAGCTCATAGACAACACATCATAAATGCTGTCATTAATCTTGAGACATACAATAGATCTCACAACGGTAGCAGCCCTGCTCCTCAAACCAGAATGCATGACTGCTTCATAGCTAAAATACCTACTCATGTTGTTTTTATGTTAAGATTTAGTACCTTACAACCAATAATTAGAGAAATGATCCAAGTGAGACGTTCACTACACTGTGTTATGTCTTCACCATGGAAGTAATTCATAAACAAATATTAACCATGTGTCGTCCTTGAAAATTTTGTTACTTAATTGAGGGCTTAAATACTGGCATAGTTGGATTGTCCAATATAAGTACCTACACTGGGCAGCTTTTCTTTTAGGTTACCGTAACTTATGATAATTATATCATGACTTTACTTTAAATTATTGATATTTTAAAAGTTCCACTAAACCTTTATAATGTTTAAAAACATACCATTATCTATCTTTACAGGAAACAATCAATTCGGACAATGCGATGGTGTCGTATCACGCATTGGGGGTTCTGGTATTATCGCGTCGAAATGATAAGTTATCTACAGTTAAACTGGTGACACGACTTTCAAAGTCCCACATAAAATCACCATACTCCCTCTGCTTGCTTATACGTTTAGCTGCTCAGCTATGCGACGGTGATGATTCTGAAGCATCTCAACCTTATATAGACTTTATAGAGTGTTGCTTACGTCATAAATCTGAAATGGTTATCTATGAAGCGGCCCATGCAATCGTCAACTTGAGAAAGACCGCCCGGGATCTTGCTCCGGCAGTATCAGTTTTGCAATTGTTCTGCAGCTCTTCGAAGGCGGCTCTCAGATTGGCTGGAGCCAGGACTTTGGCCCGGTTGACGACAAAACACCCTACAGCGGTCGCTGCATGCGCTATTGACTTGGAAAACTTAATCTCAGATTCTAATCGGTCCGTGGCGACCTTAGCTGTAACAACGCTATTAGCGACAGGCGCAGAAAGTTCCGTGGACAGGCTGATGAAGCAGATTTCGAGCTTCGTATCGGAAATTCCAGATGAGTTCAAAATAATCGTCGTCAGAGCCATCAGGCAGCTGTGCAGCAAGTTCCCGAGGAAGCATCAGTCGCTGGCTGCATTCTTAGCCGGAATGTTGAGAGACGAAGGTGGCCTGGAATACAAAGCAGCTATAGCCGATGCGATTATAGCTTTGGTCGAAGAAAATCCTGACGCTAAAGAAACAGGACTGTCTCATTTATGCGAGTTCATTGAAGATTGCGAGCACACGGCATTGGCAGTTCGTATACTGCATCTGTTGGGACGAGAAGGTCCTAAGTCTCGTCACCCGTCAAGATATATAAGATTCATTTACAATAGAGTTATTTTGGAGTCCGGCCCGGTCAGAGCCGCGGCAGTTTCCGCCGTAGCACAGTTCGGAGCACAAGTACCGGAACTATTGCCAAATATCAAGGTGTTATTGGCTCGCTGTCAGTTAGACGAAGAAGATGAAGTCAGAGATAGAGCAGTATATTACAGCACGATACTAGAGACCGAGAACCCTCAGCTCATTAATGATTTCATTGTGAATATACCGAAACCGAATGTGGTGTTGCTAGAAAAGGCATTGAGAGATCATTTGTTGCACCCCGAAGAACCGTTTAATATTTTGTCCGTTCCGGCCGAGGAGGTGGTCAAGGAAACTAAAAAGCCTATAGCCGAAATCGAAGTTCGCAAACCGGTGCAAATGTCTATCGAAGAGATCTACGCTGAGCAATTGGCTAAAATACCGGGCATCGAGAAATTAGGGCCGTTATTTAAAACGAATTTGCCAATAGATCTGACCGAAGCGGAGATCGAGTACCGGGTTCGCGTAGTGAAACACGTGTACGCACGCCACGTTATATTCCAATTCGAATGCGTGAACACGTTGAACGATCAAATCCTAGAGGACGTCCACGTCCGATTGGAAGTTCCGCCAGAATACGAAATCAAATCTATCGTTCCTTGTCAGAAGCTGGTCTACAACACACAGGACAACGTTTTCGTGGTCGTCGAATACCCTTGCGCGTTTATAGACAGTTTGGGTTCGTTTATGGCTACGTTGGAGTTCGTCGTGCGCGACTGCGACCCTAACACCGGAACTCCGGACCCTGGCGAGGGTTACGCCGACTCTTATCCCCTGGAAGAGTTCGAAATGGGTTGTTCTGACCAGATCAGGGCTAGGGCTGGGGGAGACGATTGGGAACAGACTTGGGAGAGAGCTGCGAACGTTCCAGAAGCTAATGACACGTTCGTGTTGTCGCAGACCGATGTCGGTGACGCTGCGAAGGCTGTTTGCGAGCATCTTGGTCTCCCGAACGGTTCGATAAGCGGTGACGCGGTTAAGGAGATCCGTGGTGGGGGTATATTTAGGGGCGGGGCGCCGGTTTTGGTCAGAGCTCGTTTGGCGGGTAGCATTGCTGGCGTCACGATGAAGTTATCCGCCCGATCACCCCGGGAAGACGTAGCTCAACTACTCTTGGCGGCTGTCGGATAAATCTAGTCATTTATACACTAATAATTTATAATCAGTCCAATGAGGGGAGAAGCAGGTCTGTGGTCGGTATTCAACTTTATTCGTTTAATGTTTAAGAATTTTTACTTAACTTACACAGTAGGTGTATTTCTAATATCAGCATTTATATGGCAACAAATTGAAATTAAATTTTTAAAATGTTTATGAGGATTCATTTTTCCACAAATATTATGTATCTGTACATCATGTTGCATCATTGAAAAACTAAGTACATTATTAATACACCATCAGACATAGTCCGACATTACACTATAAATACTAGAATTACATTACAAAACGTACTTAACTGAGCGTATATTGTACAATAAGAATAATACATTTTTATTTATAAAACCGATGGTTGAGCGAGCTAATGACGCAGACGATGCTGCTACAGGAGTCCATAGACATGGCAATATGAATGATGTCACCCACCTTGAGACATGAGGTCGAACTCTAAATTGTAATATGTTCACAGAGGGGCGAGCTTGAACGACTATCGAAAAAGTATTCGTAACGCTATCGAGAAACAATGTATAGGGTTTAAACAGCGCCCCTACCGTTCATAGAAGGAACTAATTTCAGCAGCACGAATGAATTCACTTACTTTCGTTTCGCAATCGAATCGTCCCGTCTCGAAACTTATACTCATGATCGAGAGCACGAAAATCGTTTTGACATGCGGTGACGTAAATCCCGAAGGCTGGCTGTCGAGTACTACCGTCTAATTTAACGATCCGTTTTCTTATCGACAACTATACATTTACATTACGAATTTGATAAGATTTTCGTGATTGACGCACAACTTTAAATACGAACGCGTGACAGAAATAGGAGAGATATAATAATATACTAGCAGACCCGACCACACGTTGCTGTGGCTAAGGTTATTGTTTCTAAATAACACGTGGCCGGCTATGCTGATACCAAATATTAACAAAGTAAGAACAATTAGATTTCACCTTATTGCGTTTACTACGAAATAAATTTCACTTATACTTTAGCCTCAGCAACACGTGGTGTTTATGCCATTAAATTGTAGCTTATGTGAACCGTTGGTATTTTTAACACAGGACCATCTATGAAACAATAATGTCAGACAGTATTACAATTGTCTGTAAAAACTGATTTAAGGCGCCATCTGTTTTAGACTTATGAAACTTACAATTAATAACAATAATCAACATAAGAAATAATTTTATTATTAATTAATTAATATTGCGACCATTAATCGAAATAAAAATCATTTTATGACCTAAGTTGGAACAAAGCGCATATTATATAAAAAAAAAAGTTAAAATCGATTCAGTAGTTTAAGTGTCCATCGCGGACAAACAGCATGACATGTATTTATATATATTAAGATATCCCAGCAAGGTTACATTAACGTCTGTGGAAAAACGGAAACACCCTAATAAGTTAGAAGAGTGGGGCAGCCGTTGTAACTATACTGAGACCTTAGAACTTATATCTCAAGGTGGGTGGCGCATTTACGTCGTAGACGTCTATGGGCTCCAGTAACCACTTAACACCAGGTGGGCTGTGAGATCGTCCACCCATCTAAGCAATAAAAAAAAATGTATTTACGTACATAATACACAAGTCATAAATGTATGTAGGTACGTACATAATAAAATTGTTTAGTATTAATATTTCAGTAATATATTGTAATTGCGCCTATAAATTATACATAATATATAATACATTGTGATTTCAAATAAATTTATTATGCCAAAAACATTCTTTTTGTATTTCTATAGGATCCTTTACTTCGGGATAAATGTAATAAATAAAACAAAACAAAAAATACATAACGAAAATTTGTAAATTTATTTCTCAAAAACAATAAATTGAGTTACAAAATGAGGTAAACGATAACATATTATATTACCCAACATTTTTTTAACTTATCACCATTTTATACGCTGTTATCTTATTAGAAAAAATATACGAAAACAATGTGACAGATACATTTTTGACAGCTGTCATTTATGTCAGACTTGGAAATTTTCAAACACGGATTACATTTGTTAAAAAGCGGGTCAGTAGTGCTAGACTATCGAAACATGTAGATTTTTCTGTTTATATTTAACATTTTTTATTGCCCGAGCAGGCAGACGAGCATACGGCCCTTCTGATGGTAAGCGGCTACCGTCGCCCATGGACGTCAGCAATGCCAGGGACAGAGCCAAACCGCTGCCTACCCCTTAATTGATTGGCATAATGAGCGTGTCTGAGCCGATATTTAAAAGCGGAGTTTATGTTATTTTATAACAATCACTCCTGTTTATAACTTATAACTATGGATAGAGGCGGCTTTAGGAGTTAGATCGTGTCGACCTCTGCGCTTTCAATGAACCCGTTACATTCGTACCTATTCTATTTGAGCGCGCACTCACCAGAGGGCGCTTGGGTGATGATAATGGTGTAAGGGGCACACGGGCTAGAGACTCCTTGACTATACAATAATATCCTGGCCGATTGAGTAATAAGCAACCAACGCACAGCCAACAAATGATATTTGTAAAAAATAAACGCCTGAGTACGTCCCTGGGGGACCGAACTCAGAAAAAATAGTTTTTTAAATTTACAAAGTAAATATAACGTTACTATGAATTAGTTTAGTAATAAAAACAAATATAACAAGGGACGAAAGGCGATTTGGTTTAAGCTACATTTCGCTTAATACGCAACATTTATTTTTAAAAAAGGTTTTTTTTTATAACTTAGATGGGTGGACGAGCTCACAGCCCATCTTGTGTTTAGTGGTTACTGGAGCTCATAGACATCTACAACGTAAATGCGCCACCCACCTCGAGTTCTAAGGTCTCAGTATAGTTACAACGGCTGCCCCGCCCTTCAAACCGAAACGCATTACTGCTTCACGGCAGAAATAGGCAGGGCGGTGGTACCCACCCGCGCGGACTCACAGGCCAGTAAATCAGCTTGGTATCAGCATCAACAGTTCGATGTTTTTTAATTGAATTTCAATTAAGTTTATTCTAACAGATGAAGAAGTTTTTTTGTCGTTCATTTTTTTTTGTAAATAATAAATTTGAAATTGCTCTCTTGTAAAGTTGGTAAAATGTAGCTTAAACCAAATAGCTTTTCATCCATATCGATATGTTGAATTTCAATAACAAAGGGTTTGTACACAAAACTGCGAATCAGCGCGATGCGATTTCGCAACACACATAATTCGCGACACGAATGTCTGCAATGCGATTTCGTGCATCAAGGCGTTTCCTTTCCACAATTGGGGTTCAATTCCACAATCCTTTAAGGCTTCGTCAAACAGAACGCGTACTTAGTGCCGCGTTTTAACGTCGCGCTCTTTTCATGTCACGCAAATTGACTAGATGAGCCCAACGCTCCTTGACGCAACGTAACATTCGCCAAATCATAGTGCCTTTCGATAGCAGTGTGAAAATTTAAAAGTATTAAGATGTCGAGTGATTCAGATGTGGCATTGTATAAGCATGGGTGTTTTCTAACGTATGCTATCAGTTTTTCGGGCATGATCCAGTATTTTAATGCATATTCACTCGGACGTTAAAATAAAATTTGTAAAAAATTACAACGCCTGACGTCAAAGCGTCCTAACGCCGCGACAGAGCGCTGCGTACTTATAGCGCTGGGGCTCTGTTTGACGGTATGTTACCATAGTAGTACAACACATCTCGGCGTCATAGCGCGGTCAGTTTAGCGCTCTGACGCGCGCTAATTACGCGTTCTGTTTGACGAAGCCTTTAACATCGCAGGAATGCGAGACGCGAATCAATTCGCAAGTTCTTACGACGCGTCGTGGAAGCTCGTAGATTTTTACGATGCAATACGCAAACAGAAATTTAAAATCTATTGTCGCTTAGTTTTTTTTTTTTTATGAACATTTAACAAATTCAATTTTGTTTTAATACGTCCTCCCCTATAGAGAATTCTGTCAGAAAGGCCTGCATTCCGACTATTCTAAACCGCGATTTCCGACACGGAAACCCGATTAGGAATATTTCCGGACAATCTTAGCCTTGAAGATTGATTATTCGAATATATTAATATACTGTACGCTACCTGAGCTCGTCGCGTTATCAAAATCGTACGTTTCGTCGCTAACGATATCGGTCAGTGCCAACATCGCCCGCAGCGCGGATTGCGAGTGGCGCCATTGCTCCAGGCATTTCTTCGTTACTTGACTGTGAAATTAACAACATTATTTGTATACTAGTCTTAAAATTTTAGATTGGTTGACGAGCTCACCAGCCCACCTGGTGTTAAGTGGTTACCGGAGCCCATGGTCATCTACAACGTAAATGCGCCACCCACCTTGAGTTCTTATGTCTCAGTATAGTTACAACGGCTGCCCCACCCTTCGAACCGAAACGCGTTACTGCTTCACGGCAGAAATAGGCGGGGTGGTGATACCTACCCGTGCGGACTCACAAGAGGTTCTACCACCAGTAAAAATCATCATCAGCCGTCCAATGTTAAGCTAACGGAGCCCATGGGCATCAACGACGTTAATGCCGCTGACGGAGCGACGCTAAACGCTCGAGGGAAAAATCTTTTAATTTAATAAAGTACATATCTGCGTTCGCGGCTCCACTTACCCGTACTTGTCCATTCGCCGGTCCGCGGTTGCTTCGATGCCCGCCTTAATGAGGTACCGTCTTATTGTCCTGTCGCCGTCGTCTTCACGTTCTATTATCCTGGGATTTTTACGTTCGTTAATAACAAAAAGATCATTATAATAGACATATACAACCTAAATACTAATAACAACAAAGGTTTACTAGACTATCGTAGAAGGGGAGTAAGGTTCTTCGAGTAAGGTTTCAGTATAGTTACAACGGCTGCCCCATCCTTCAAACCGAAACGCGTTACTGCTTCACAACAGAAATAGGCAGGGCGGTGGTACCTACCCGCGCGGACTCACAACACGTCCTACGCCCAGTTACCTCCAAGTCTAGACCCCCCCCCAACGCCCCGCGTGTTATCCTCTAATCGACTACAAACATTACATACGTTCCATGATCGGATCATGCTATTAACCAAATTCAATGTACCTCTTCAAGTTCCCAGTAACATTATTAACCAATTCTAAGGTCTTCCTTATTTTATTATTAATTTCCATCTTCTCCGGCTCCTCCATGTCCTTGTGTCGGATCAACGAGCCGGTTTCGTTTCTGAAAAGTTACAAATATATAAATACTAAATTGTTGTAATATTATTGTTGTAGTACAGGGTTTTAGGGACATTTTTGAATCGACACTCGTCGGCAGTTGATAATAATTAATCAACAATCTTCGTAGACATAACCCACTGAGTTTCTGGGCGGATCTTCTCAGTGGGTCGCAACTCCGATCCGGTGGTGGATTCAGCAAAGCACTGCTCTTACTAGGACTGATGTTAGCATACCCTCAAGTTGAATCCATGAGCTCACCTACCAGTCCAGGCGTAACTGTAATAGCCCTTTAGGCTAACAGCGAATAGGCAGGGGAAATAAGTGGGAATCAACACGATCATCCACAGATGTGTGCATCATACAAGCGTATTATGAAATTACTAATATATTTTATAACAAATGTGACTTAAACTAGGGAAAGCAAGTGTCAGTATAGTCAGTGAGCAGTGGACTAAGAATAACAGAGATAAGATTATGTAAGGATACTGTTAGGTAGGTAGGACATTTAGTGAGACCACCGCCTTGTCTATTTCCAATTTAAAAATAATCTCATGTCTCTAAATTTATGACTGAATTCGTTTTTCTTTTATTGCCTTTGTAGACAGACGGGCATGCAGTAAGCAGTTACCGACGCTCAGTCTAATGTCTATAGGCTCTGGTAACCACTTAGCACAAATTAGATCGTGACCCTTGATTTACTGACGCAAAATACAAGTCTCGTGGATTGAATGATGTCTAAGGGCTCTTGTGTCTTTACTAATAGAACTAAAGACCAATTGAAATAATAAAAATCTCATACATACATGAATTCGTGTACTTCAATGAAAGTCGTGCTGAGCTCGTAGAAAAATGACTTGGCCAGAGAATAAGCTTGGTAGCTGTCGTTTTCAATACCGCTGTCGGATAAATCGTTGACGGACATGACGTCATCAACGTCATTCAAAACGTCTCGATTCAAATCGGAACTGTTTATGTTCATCGCCAGTCGCACATCACTATCGCACCGAACCGCGCCGGTAATGACATTTGAATTTTCAAATTTCGAAGCTTCATTGTTCAGTTTCTTTCCATTGATCCCTTCCTTCGTGTTTAAATCGATTTTCTTCTCAATTCTGTTCTGCGTTTGAATCGTATCGTTTTGATGTTTCAGCATCGGTCTGGCCGTTTCAATGTTGCCATCTTCAATGATTTTCCCGATATTATTAACAGCTTTCTGGGTCGTCTTCGGTACGAAATTGGCTTCGGTCATAGACATATTGTTGTTTCTGTCTATTTTTAGGTGATTCAAATCTTTACCCAAAGCCCTGAATACCTTCCGGCTGTCGGGGATTTTTTGTGCCTGGAATAATATTACCACATTAGTTTCATAGTTTCACCTCTAAAATTTTGGAGGGTAGAAGTGAGGAGCACCGTGTCAGTATGTTAAAATGTGTCTTAAATTGAGACAATTATGGTGGCGCCACAGTAGCAAGAAATATTTAAAACACAGCGCCATAACCTACCGCACTTCACTTTGTTCAAAACTGCTATATTTATATAACTTCCACTAGCGCTATTTCGGTGAGTCTATTAACAAGAACTTGCTGTTTACAGGCGGACACTTTATCAACTTGTCCTCCTATAAAAGATCGTGCTCCTTACCTTCTTAATACATATATTAGTGCATATTTTTGTAAATCGTTTAAATGAAATACGTCTTTAAAGCGGATGCTATAAAGTCGCATTTCGCAACGAATCTTAATTTAATTTAGACGAATTTCCGTTCGGTACGGAGAACGCGTGAAGAACATCGAATGCGTTACGCGAATATATACCGTACGACTGTGGGTTACAGTCGAAAATACTGGGCCTCGCAAAACTAGTTATCGTCCCTTAATTGCGAACTGCAGTCTTGCAGATCAGCCGAGTTCTCATTGGGTCGCGAATTCGATCCGGTGGTAGATTCAGCGAAGTACTGCTCTTGCTAGGGTTCGTTAGCAACGTCGTCAGGTTTGAGCCCCGTGAGCTCACCTACTTGTTGGGTTACGCTGACATAGCCTCCCAAGGCTACCAGCTTAGGCAGAAAAAAAAACCGGCAGAGTTTCTCATGATTACCTTTTCATCAGCGATCCTGGTCACGTCGTTTCCCTCGCAGCTCTCCCACTGAGGGTAGTGCTTCATCACGTAATTTAGTACTTCCGTTGATTTCTTTCTAACTGTAACGATACAATTATTATGTTAACAGTTCTTATGTACAAAAGCGAACTAATAGAAACCAATATACTTGTTCTTTTTTTTTTAAGGGATTTTATGCCCTGGTAACTAAGACCGTTAAGTCATGTCTTATTTTAATTTATATTCTTATTTTTATGAAAAATGACAATATGGAGTGAAATGAAATGAGATGAGATGATATGGGATGAAATATAATCTCAGTAAAATGGTGGTCATTGATTAAGATTTTTTCAGTTTACTTTTTGGAGGATCTCGAGAAGTTATGTCCAGCGGCTTTGTTTCATTTTCGCACATTTGTTCACTTTCACAGATAACAAACAGTTAATAAACCACCAGTATTACACATTTAAACCTGAAGAAACACTAAATAAAACAAATTACACAACTTCACTCCTCGCGTTCCCGCCAAAAAGTCCTCATTCAGAATTAATGACTCAATAATAATAACTAGTGGTCTCCCAGTAGTCGAAATTCGACTATAATTCATTGAAATTATAAGTTTAAACGTTATTATGGTTCTGTTGTGAAAGACTTAATAACTAAGAACCATGTAATACTTCTATAATCAAAGATTTCGCCAAGACAAATAATATTAATTCTCATTTCATTTCATTTCGCTCCATATTATCATTTTTCATAAAAAATAAGAATATAAATTAAAATATGACATGACCTAAAGGTCTTAGTTACCAGGTCATAATATCCCTTAAAAATAAATCTGAATGACGTGTTGAATACGACAACTCACAGATCCGCCTCTCGTGCTGCGCATCCGTCCCGGCGGGCGGATGCTGCGCGTCGCTGTCGCTGTGGTCGGGCGCGTGCGGGTCGGCGGCCGGGTCCACGATGTTACGTATCAAGTGGTCCATGGACTCGCAGGCTTCCTCGAGGTCCCGGTCGTTAGCGTAGTATATCTGCAAACGACAACGCAGCCTATTTATATAATAATACATATATCGAAGGCTATTTAAGCGAAATTTTTGTAACATTACACGAGAACCATTTTATGAGAGAATTTTATGACAACTTTTTCAGCTATTTATTATATTACTATAACTACAAATATAGAATTGTTGATGCTGATACCACATAAAACGGAGCTTTAATTACAAAAATAAATGCCACGTATTAAACGAATTGCATACTTTCGTCCCTCGATATAATAATGTTGGTCCTGTACAGTGTTATTAAGTCGCAATAAAACTGCACAGTCATGGTTGGCACGCCATGGAACATATCTGTTTTAGTACCGGCAGCGGACCACAGGGGGCTCGCGAGAAGTTTCAAGAAAATTTATTTTTTGCTCTTGGTACATACGTTCCTAATAATACGAATCATATTAAAATTATTCGAAGAGATGGCGCTGCAATCGACATCGAAGATTTTAGAATGTGTTAGAGCATACGTTCCTCGAATTCTGCTTGAGCTATCTCCATTTTTATTTTTATTTTTGTCTATCAGTGGTGATCTCTAGACGATTTAGATTTACAATTTAAAAAAAAATACCGGTATATTTATAAAATTATACATACAAAAATCTATTGGTACGTGTAATTTTGTATTAGAAACAAAGGTGTTTTAAACTAATAGGTCTACCGAAGACATCGCCTTTGATCGGGTCTCGAATCCGGCGTTCGTGTTTCCCAAGCCTGGCTCACTAACCGCTACGCCAAAGAGCCATCTCGAATCGTATACATTTACCTGTAGATTCTTTAATAAAATAAAACCGCAGCCGATTATTTTCATAAATTCATTCCCGATAATGTCTTTCTTTATTTTACCTGTAAAAATAATAAAACAACATTATGGTTACTTGAGAACAGAAAGAACCAAATGATACTTTAGCCCATGTGTCGAGCTGGAGCATATCTATGGAATACGGTGACCACTTAACATCAGATGGACCATGAGTTCGCCACCTATCTGTGCTGTAAAGTTTTATATATCTTTTATAAACACATTTTGTTTTTCTCTCAATACAACTTACATAAACACATTATTATTACATCTATTACTGGTGGTAGGAACTCTTATGAGTCCGCACGGGTAGGTACCACCGCCCTGTCTATTTCTGCCGTGAAGCAGCAATGCGTTTCGGTTTGAAGGATGGGGCAGCCGTTGTAACTATATTGAGACCTTAGAACTTCTATCTCAAGGTGTGTGGCGCATTTACGTTGTAGATGTCTATGGGTTCCAGTAACCACTTAACACCAGGTGGGCTGTGAGCACGTCCACACATCTACGCAATAAAAAAAATATCTATAGTTTCTATATTTTTATTATTATTATTATATAAACTATTTATTAATTTTAATGATCAATCTTCTGGTAAATTTAAAGTTTTTTTTTTTTAAATAATTAGTATTATATTATAGTATAATAAAGTATTACGGCACGCAACAACATTTGATGTGACGTCAATAGCGGCTAAAATAAATATCGATTATACAAGAACAAACAACGATTAGTTGCATACCGCAACACGTGGAGAGATACGTGTTTAGTTTTTAGACATTAAGAAATATCTAGTGATTTTAAATCGAAATCATTAATATTACACGAAAATTATGTTCAAATGCCTTCTTAATATCATTAATACTAACTAAAAGTCACCTGTTATGTTCACAGCAAAACTTCAGCACAGAATTTAACTTTAGCGCGTACTAAAACAGCGATGACAGTGTTAATAGCACAGTCAACATACATACCTCTCTGACAATTATTTTCGAACAGGTCCTTTAGTTTCTTTATGATGTTATTAATATTTTCGTCTTCACAATAATTTCGGAGTTTCATTAATGCTTCTATTAAACTATTGATAGGTTGTCTGTCGTTTGGCTGGAAAAAAAATAATAAAAATTAAAGAGCTCTGAACTGCTTGAGGCATGAGGTCCAAATTTTTTTTTATTGCTTAGATGGATGGAGGAGCTCACAGCCCACCTGGTGTTAAGTGGTTACTGGAGCCCATAGACATCTACAACGTAAATGCGCCACCCACCTTGAGATGTAAGGTCTAAGGTCTCGAGTATAGTTACAACGGCTGCCCCCCGGTCCACACGATGGTGAGTGGTTACCGTCGCTCTCATGAACATAACCAAGCCGCTGTCCACCGTTAACCGACGTTATCAAATGTTATTGAAATGAAAAAAAAAAAAAAAAAAAAACTACCTGTATTATATTCAAAATAGTGCTCTCCATGATCTGCGTGAAGCTACAGGTCCATTCGTCGAATCTGCTCCTTAATCTGTGCTCGATCAAATCGTTCACCACGGAGAAACCTTTCAATTCGTTGTCTATGGAACTTAGACTGTGGTCTGCGGGAACGAAATTCAAAAACCGTTCATTCCATTCATTCCCAATCTCGTTGGCATTGAACTCGAAGTTTTCCGTTCCTTTCGTGTTTTTAAATGACAACTTCCTTTGGCCGTCAGTGTTATTGTCGCATGTCAGTTTATATGCGCCATCGCCAATGCGCCAGCTCCCTGTTGCTTCAGAGTGATGAGTGACGTCATTTTGACTTTTATTTCTGTACAAATGAATGTCACAGTCGTTTCGTTCTGAACTGATCTGTTGAGTGCTCAAGCATTTTATTTTTAAATTTACCGCCCGTTTTCGCAGATTCGAATCGTCCGTTATCAGTATCTGTAAAGATTAATTCAAATTAATAAAGGAACATATCTTTTATATAGCCAGTTCGCGCGGCCTACAATCGAAATTAGACCACATATCACATACTTTAAAACTTATTGTGGGGGCACAGAGCTGGTTTGCAGTAGTTGTTCACCCAATGATAAGTCTGGATTTTACTAATTCACTTTAATTCACAATCACTTACAAATATTTTTTATGCTCTACAAATGTTCAATGTTCTAAATGTTATTGTTATATGTTAATGTTTTAATTACTAAATGTAAATGTTAAATGTTACGGTCGCGAGGACCAGAGCCAACTTCCGCGTAACCGGGTTGTTTCACGACTGTTGCTACTGTTCAACTGCAACTTTAAATAAGCGTGCAGTGTGGCGTTATAGCTTACTAAGATGTTCGGCCGTATTACACCGAACACTTATTATCATTAATTATTATTACGTACATACTCTCTGTTGTTTGGTTTTACATGTCTGATCGCGGTTACCAGTTTTGACACAAGTAATGACATAAGGAAGGTTTTCCACTGTGAATATTGCTCGGTAGACCGACGGTCCCAATGTCATTATTCGGAACTTGTATATACGCAAACTTATTTTGAAAATGTTATTAGCGAGTTTCAGACATCTGTCAAATATCTTGGGTTCTATACATGTAGAAGTATGGAGCATCATCTCAGTGCATTAAAAAGTGTCCGTTGAATGAGAGTCAATTAAGGTGGTTAGCGCTATTCAGACATCTTTCGTATATCAGATGTCTTCTCTTCTGCGATAACTACCGTCGCAATACTTTCTTGTCTTAGTGTATTCTTACCATATCCTGTATGCGTCGTGTCCAAAGCGCCGATTCTTATCTTTCGATATCATTACAGCTTTTAAACTACCAAAATTGAATATCTACAATGCAAACTCACCGCTCTGTGACCCATCTCGATACAGTAGTTCAGTATCAGATCGTTCGTCGACATTCTCAAATGTTCGTCCCATTTATTTTGCACTGAAACAATTACGAAACGGAAGTACTAATAATAATAATAATAAACATTTATTCCACACATACATTAGGTACGCACGGGTAGGTACCACCACCCCGCCTATTTCCGCCGTGAAACAGTAATGCGTTTCGGTTCGAAGGGTGGGGTAGCCGTTGTAACTATACTGAGATCTTAGAACTTATATCTCGAGGTGGGTGGCGCATTTACGTTGTAGATGTCTATGGGCTCCAGTAACCACTTAACATCAGGTGGGCTGTGAGCTCGTCCATCCATCTTAGCAATAAATAAAAAAAAAGGTACAAAAAATAAAAACAAAGATAACACATATAACGAGGTTTGAAAACGGTTATCGGCTCAGCAATGCCTAACAGTACCGAGACAATCGGTACTGCGGAGTGACGCGCACACCAGCATCAGACCGACCAATAGTTATGCACTTGAGTATGAGTTCAGCAAATTTACAGTTTCCTTTTTTAAATTGGAACAGTTATACTCTTAGATTTTGATTTTATGACCTGGTAACTAAAACTTTTAAGCCATATCTTATTTTAATTTATATTCTTAATTTATGAAAAATGATAATATCGAGTGAAATTAAATGAAATGAAGATGATTAATTTGAGACGTTAAATTAAATTAAATGAGATGATATAGGATGAAATACAATTTCAGTAAAATTATGGTCATTTATTGATGATGATTTTTTCAGTGGACTTTTTGGAGGATCCCGAGAAGTTACGTTCAGTGGCTTTGTTTCATTTTCCCACATTTGTGCACTTTCACAGATATTAAACAGTTAATGAACCACCGTTATTACACATTTAAGCCCGAAGAAACACTAAATAGACAAAATAAAACAAATCACACAAATTCACTCCTCGCGTTCCCGCCAAAAAGTCAAAAATATTAGAAAAAAAAAATACTCACAGATAATAAACTGCTGTGTCGGTGTTGCCAGCATCCGCGTTATTTTCCTGGCCGCACATACAATTTTAATGTCACGAGCGTCGACCCTAGAGAAGGCATCAATTTCGTTCCACATCAGCTCCGGTATCAGGAGACGTCGGTTCTCATCTGAGAATAAGATTAATAATTTATGTTAAGAGGCAACATAATCATAATGTCTGTAGAACCATCCGATTTAAAATCCAATTTATCCATAGGTTCTTTTGCCCACTGCTTATAATAAAATTAATAAACACCTTAATATATATGAGTCGTCTATTATCAAAGGTGGCAATCTGTACATTTGGACAGAAAAATGTTATTGATATGTCAATACAGATTGATTTGAATATAATCGTCTCCTTCAAAGAATACGGTTCAAAACCTGCATTAAATAAAGGTTAATAGTTAACCTGTTATTTATCTAAGATGTCGTTCCGAAGAGTTGTGACTGCCAATGGAATACAAAGTCAATAATTCGTTTTTCTGATTTACCAATAATTGTCCAAAAGTCAGATTGCCGGCTTTGATAATAGTCAACTCATATCCCCTAAACAGTAAGAAATGCAGAACTTCTATATTTAATTGGTCTGAAAGTTTGTTATATAGCTTTTAATTTTTTTGACTACACCCACACCACACACCCTCTTACACTCACTCCTGCTCAGACTCATTACACACAGAGGGTACATTCATTTCATAACAAAAATGTTAATTTTTCTATTTTAAGTTCACATTTTGTCATTTTTATGCAATCCATGATTTTCAGTTTAATTCTTGTCTATTAACATTCTATTTTTGTGTATCTGAAGTAAAGCTGTTGTATTCTTTGTACGAGAAGCACTGCTGCTTGATATACATACAGTTCTATCGGAACCTTCTGGAAAATAGATATAGAAACAACTATAAAAGTCGAACGGATCGCTTCAAGAAAGCAAATAAGTGTATTGTGATATCTACATTAATTGTCGTAATAATTAAATTTGAGTTTTAATTAATATATCAGTTGAAGGGTTTTAATTTATACTCAGCCCCAACCCGTAATAAATCCGCACTAAGCACACTCACCTTCTGCAATGTAACATTCTATCAAATTCAATTTCTCCAAAAACGTTTCGATGTCAATGAGAAAATAACTATTGATGTCTTCCAGAAACAAATTCCTCAAATTCCATGTCACATTCTGGTTCTGAAAACGGATATATATGAGATTATATATTATTCTCAAGATCTCAAGATCAAATATCAGTTCTCTACATTAATATATACTTGTGGTAGGACCTCTTGTGAGTCCGCACGGGTAGGTACCACCACCCTGCCTATTTCTGCCGTGAAGCAGTAATGCGTTTCGGTTTGAAGGGTGGGGCAGCCGTTGTAGCTATACTTGAGACCTTAAAACTTATGTATCAAGGTGGATGGCGTATTTACGTTGTAGATATTTATGGGCTCCAGTAACCACTTAACACCAGGTGGGCTGTGAGCTCGTCCGCCCATATAATCAAAAAAAAATATATATTTTCTATCTCATAAATATTCTTAATGTTAACTTCATTTATTATTTTGTGAATACCATTAACGGTAGTAACATCACGATATTTTTTTCTGTGGATAAAAAAATTATCATTGTAATTCATTCTAGAATCAGGAATTTAATGAACTATACCTGTTTATCCTCTTCATTGTAATCTTGATTGTTTAAATTGAACGTAACCCTCATAGACGTTAGCAGTTTAGATGGTTCATCCGATACTGTCTTGGTTTTTTTTTCTGTGATAAAATGATATTGTTTCATGTCAAAGGAATTAAAAAAGGTAATATAATGTAAAGGTAATATGAGTCGACTATTATCAAAGCCGGCAATGTGACTTTTGGACAATTATTGGTAAATCAGAAAAACGAATTATTGACTTTGTATTCCATTGGCAGTCACAAAACTCTTCTGAACGACATCTTAGATAAATAACAGGTTAAGTATTAACCTTTATTTAATGCAGGTTTTGAACCGTATTCTTTGAAGGAGACGATTATATTCAAATCAATCTGTATTGACATATCAATAACATTTTTTTGTCCAAATGCACAGATTGCCACCTTTGATAATAGACGACTCATATAGAGCCTCGAATAATCCTTTAAAATACCGAATGGGCTGAGTACACAAAGGACATGGGCCATTTTCGGCCCAGCTACTAGTGCTCTCAAGGACACGAATGAAATATCTATAGAAAAAACATTTCATTTTTACATAGTTATTATAAAATTTAAGGGTATTTTAATGGTGGGATAATTAAAATCATAAATAATAAGAAATTAGCATGACTAAGCTACATTGATAATATTAAAGGAGTTGCCATAGGCAAAATATATTTATTTATATTTTAAGCAATTTACATTAAACCTTCTTAAAAAATATATTATACTGCAAAAAACTAGCAAAATATATTAACATATTTAATTAATGGATTTTAAAACTAATATAAAACATTATATCTAAACAAAAATCTATTTTTATACTTTTAAATCCGTAGAATAAATCATTAAATTGATCAATAATTATTGATCTTAAGCAAAAAAAAAACTACGCTTGTTTAATGTTTAGTCGTTTTCGCACTCGTGCGCATTGTGGATATTATTAAGTGTTTTGTTGCGATATACCTGCTTATTATATTTTTTGTGCATAAAATTAAGTCTTGGCATTCATTGAATCAGGTCTGTGTTATAAAGTAAAGTAATATAAGTAATATTTAAGCTGATGATGATGATGATGTTAAAGTGTAAGTGTATTGACAGCAAATCATATGATATAGGTAAACTGAAAATCTTATCTTATTGTTTAAATATCTCTGTAACCCCATGAACAATATTGATTTTAATTTGTTTATAATAAAAGGGAAATATAGTCTGTTATTTAAACTTAATTTCATTACTGTCCTTGAACTTCGTTTAGTGGGCCGTGCAATGTATGGAGAGTGGCCCATGTCCTTTCCTACCACAAGTAATGATTTAAAGTTGTGTACAGAATTTTCATCAACTTACCAATACTAGGATGTACCCTTTCAGATGTTCCTCTCTTTTTGGCAAGCAGTAATAGCCTCAGATCATGTTTTTCTAACTTCGTTAGATCTTTGTGATCTTGTACTCCTTGTGAATTTATCATCAGACATTCTTCGTTTTTAAATGATTCATTATTAGCGTTACCATTTTCCTGTCTTGCAAAAGTGTTTTCACTATTGGATTTAATGTTATTGTTTACTTTAAAAAAAACATTTTGGTTTACTTTAGAAAAATCTTGAAGGAATTTGTTTTGAGATTGTGTTTTTGGGGTCAATGAAGGAAAGTCAGTATTTAATTTCAGTATTGGTTCTTTGATTAAACATTTAGCTGTTGGACTAAATGGACTAAATGTACCAAATGTTTCATTTGGAGAATGAGCATTATTCAAAACAGGTTTATTTTGTAGATTCATGTCTTCATTGAAATGTATTCCAGGTCTTTTATAATTCATGAATCGTTCATTTAGAGGAATCCTAGTATTTTGGATTTGGAAATGTGTATCTATCTCGGTTTGTGTCAATTTATCTTCAGTGGACTTGACATTGTAAGTAGCAAACAGAGGTGTTGGCAAATGTATTGGTGTCCAAACAATATTTGGTACAGAAGGCTGAACATACTTAGGGAAGACTGCTTGACCAAATTCTGGTACGATTTTGGGATAATACTTTGGCCCTGTCATTGGTCTGGAATTTTCAGGAGGATTGCTTGGTTCGGCATAATTATGCTTGTTGTCTGTGATGTTATGTATTTCTTTATTCTTTTCCACGGCTGTACCCTGAAAGTTAATTAATAAACTATTTGTTTATCTTTTAGCATTACATGTATTTATAATGGACAATTATCAAAGCTAAAATGGACAACATTTGCTAAGCTTATATTATTGTGATAAGACACTGCTGTTATTCCATAAAAGAACATGAATTTCGATAAAGCAAAAACGTTATTAAGATAGTAACAGGAAACAGTAGCTTTAGTATTAGGGTTCAGAATACTCATTTTTCGAATTAACCGCCTAAATTTAAACAGTGGGAGCGAGCGAAACTTTACTGTGTATGACGTCATTCGCGGCCAAAATATACAATAAGTCTAGCATGTACAATGTTCTTGTAAATAGTCGATGAAATGTTAGGATTATTGGTTTTATTTGCTGATTTAATAATAATTATACTGAGTTAATAATTATCATTTGACGAAAGTCAAGATTTTCCCTTCGATCCAAATTTTATTGTTTGCATCATGTAATTGCAACTTCGGGTATTTTGAAAATGTGTACGCAATTTATTCTTTGTTAAATATAAATTTTATTTGTATAGATTGACTTTTACGATAAACTACGGATGAATAATATAAATAGAAAAAGCCATTAATATTACTAAACAGCTTTTTCTAGAACGCAACATTGGTTAGAGATGGTTAACTTTAATAAATTATGATTACTTACTTCATTATCAGTCAAACTCCAAGCTGCTTCACCATTCAAGACGTTAAAATAATAAAATTTACCGGGAAATCTTTTGGAAGGGCATAAGGTCCAACCATGATTATTAGTATTCATTTTAACAACTTATTCATTTATGTTTTAGTACATAATTTGTTGGAAAATTCAACCCATTACAAAATTACATGAAACTTAAAAAGTACTACAATAGGAATGTAATCTGATCTTAAAATAAACAAAACTCATGATTTTGTTTAGACCCGCGAATTCTCATTAAAATTCAATCTGTTTCATCTATGACTTTTGACATTGATTTTTAATCTGTATAAACTTTTTGGCGGGAACGTGAGGAGCGAAATTGTGTTTTTGTTTTGTGAATTTTGTAGTTCTTCGGGTTTAAACCCATACAGCCGATATAGTTTCTTTTATTATAAATGTTATGGTTTATGTATGGAACGGTAAAGAAGCAATACTGATGAGACTTTAACCTTATATCTTTATCAAGCAGTCGAAATCGATGCCCTTTTAGAATTTGTTTGAGAATTCTCAAACAATGAGAGACTTATTGAATTTCTGTCAGAAAATACCTATAGTCTTTGAAAATGCCCACCCACGTCATATCGGCTTTAGCGACCACCCGCTATGCAATGTATCTCCTCCGGTCGTATTGCACGCCAGACCACCTGATGGTCGGGCGCTACCAAGGGAGCTACTGGAACCCCCTTCTATGTCAAAATAGTAGGCTTAACCGGAGTGATATGGGAGTGCTCATAACGAGTGCCCCCATGGGACTAAGCTGTTCACACTCATCGTTCCCTCCACTTATTGGGATGCCCTCTATGCAGACCCATTGCACCAACCCCGTGGGTGGATCACTCTTCCGTCAAGAGAATGTTTTAAGTCGGTCTCTCCCCGCTTCCGTCTTCCCCTTCTGGGGAGCCCAGAGCGGGTGAGCGCCTAAAGTAGTGCCGCGGCTCACCCTCTGTTTTGTAGAGATGGGGCCGCAGCATGGGGCCGGTGGCGGGCCCCGGATTTTTTGCTGACTGTTGTCCATCTGCCTTGTAAATAGTAGTTAGTAGCTGTAGATAGTTTTAGTTAGTTTGTAGTTAGGTTAGTTAGTTGTAAGGGAAACAAAAAACAAAAAAAAGAAGCAGAGGACAGCAGCCGGCGCCGGGGCGTACCGTCCACGGGCATCACTCCGCACAACAGTCAAACCTATCGTATTATGTGTAAAATATGTATATATAGATGTAAACTACAGCCGTACACGCTGCACAAATGATAAATGTAGCCCGACGGGTTGGCAGTGTATCGTATTCTGACCTGGCAGGCTTTTTAATTTTTTTATTGCCTAAATGGGTGGACGAGCTCACAGTCCACCTGGTGTTAAGTGGTTACTGGAGCCCATAGACATCTAAAACGTAAATGCGCCACCCATCTTGAGATATAATTTCTAAGGTCTCAGTATAGTTATAACGACTACTCCACCTTTCAAACCGAAACGCATTACTGCTTCACGGCAGAAATAGGCAGGGTGGTGCTACCTACCAGTGCAGACTCACAAGAGGTCTTGCCGCCAGGAAAAGCAGTCCTACCACCAGTAAAGAGGTCCTACTGCCATATAAGGCTGGTTCTGGTTTAGCGGGGTATCTCCGAACACGAGCAGTACTACCACTTTGAAGTCGTCGTGGCCGAAAAGATAAGATGTCCCGGTGCATTCGTGTTGAAGCGATGCACCGGTGTTCGAATCCCGCAGGCGGGTACCAATTTTTCTAATGAAATACGTACTCAACAAATGTTCACGATTGACTTCCACGGTGAAGGAATAACATCGTGTAATAAAAGTGAAACCCGCAAAATTAAAATTTGCGTAATTACTGGTGGTAGGACCTGTTGTGAGTCCGCGCGGGTAGGTACCACCGCCCTGCCTATTTCTGCCGTGAAGCAGTAATGCGTTTCGGTTTGAAGGATGGGGCAGCCGTTGTAACTATACTGAGACCTTACAACTTCTATCTCAAGGTGGATGGCGCATTTACTTTGTAGATGTCTATGGGCTCCAGTAACCACTTAACACCAGGTGGGCTGTGAGCTCGTCCACTCATCTAAGCAATAAAAAAAAAAAAAAAACAAACAAAAAAACAAAGCTGACAAAAGTATACTTAAGGTTGACCGCGTGTCTAGTCACCAGGTTCACCCCCTCCTACGTCTCCCGTAAACTGGTCTTTGGGTGAGAGCACAAGGGAGTCAGTGGATGGATTCGGTAGTACTAGATATAAAAATAATTATATAGATATAATGTATGCTTCCTCGGGGCCGAGATTCAGGCCCTTAGAAGATCTTATGAAGAAACTAAAAGCTAAACTAAAGCTGGACATCTTGTGGTTTTTGTCATCTCACTCACACATACACACACGCACGCAAGTAAAAAACGAACAGAAACTTTAAAACATTTTTTCTTTTTAATAAAATAATATTTTCTTAGACATTATAAAAAATGAGCAAATTTTAATGTATACAATATTTCACTATCTTATAATTAGGAACGATAACATACATGTACTAATTTACCCTTTCTTTGTGGAAACTCAAAAACTTTCATGGCATCATTATTATTGAACAATGCCGTGTATACACCCCAAGTATACGTGGAAATTAGATCACTGTCATTGCTTCATGACATCCTATTCTTGGCTATCTGGATCATTAGGTATAGGGCTTATATTCTACACTAGATATGTGTCGTTCGTTCAATTTTAGAGATTCAGATCAGTACAGACCTGTTGACAAAATGATCCGGTTCGTACGACCCGTTTAGTCGAACGAACGACTAAGCGAGACGGGCGCGGGGCGAGACGCGGCAACCCGAAATGACCCGAATGACCGTCGTACTCGTATGGTTCTTTTCTTCTGATTCGTAGGTTTTGTGTTAAACGAGTCAATTTAGTGAACAACTCATATTTTTTGAAGTGACCTTATCGTTCGCGCGGAGTTTGAGATCCGGGTCTTTTGACTGGTTCGTTCGCGAACGACACATATCTATTCTACACTATCCTAAAATTTTAACACACAACATGTAATATGGAGGGTAGAGGTAAATAGCACTATACTGTATAAGGAACAAGTCGAAAAAGTGTCCACTTGTAAACAGCAAGTTATTATTGGAAGACTCAGCGAAATAACGTTAGTGTAGAAAGTGGAATTTATATGAATATAGCAGTTTTAAGCAAAATGTGCCGGCATAAAGTGAATTGCAATTTATGGAGCCGTTTATTAAATCTTTAGGTGTTAGGCAAGGATGTATATTATCTCCGATTCTCTTCAACATATATGGGAAATACATTATGAGACGAGCCTTAGATGGCTGGGAGGGTGGAATATCCATTGGCGGCAGGAAAATCAGCAACCTCCGTTATGCAGATGACACCACACTATTCGCATCATCCGAGCAAGAAATAGCCCAACTCTTTACTAGGGTGGCGGAGGAGAGTGAATTAGTTGGCCTAACCATTAATAAGGCGAAGACCAAGGTATTGATGGTGGACAGACCCGGTATGCTTATTCGCTCTAATGAACTGCATGACTTGGAATTTGTTGACCAGTTCGTTTATCTTGGCTCTCTTCTTTATGGCGAGGGTGGCAGCGAAAAGGAGATAGCTAGAAGAACCCAAATGTCGAAAGGAGCTATGACTAAGCTCACTAGGATATGGAAAAACCGCAATATATCCCGCAAAACCAAAGTGAGGCTGGTACGTACATTGATCTTCTCAATTTTTCTTTATGGCGCCGAATCCTGGACGATAAGACGAAGTGAGAGAGCAAAGATCGACGATTTCGAAATGTGGTGTTGGAGACAGATGTTGCGAATTCCATGGACAGCACGCCGGACCAACCTGTCCATTCTGAAGGAACTCGGTATTGCCACAAGGCTGTCCGCTATCTGCTTCCAACGTATTCTCGGGTACTTCGGCAACATCGCTCGTAGAGGCCCCGATAACTTGGAGAAGTTGATGGTAGTTGGTCAGGTTGACGGGAGAAGATCACGCGGACGCTCACCTATCCGCTGGTGTGATCTGGTTAAGACGCTCACCAGCCTGCCAATATCCGAGGTTATAAAGACCGCCGAGGACAGGAAGACGTGGGGAAGCATCGTGCATCGAGTGGTCCACATTTTAGATTAGACACGACCTTCAGTAATGAAGAGACCGACTCAGAAGAAGATTAAATCTTTCCACTTGCTACTGTGGCGCCACCTTAATTGGCTTTTAACACTTTAATACACTGAGATGATACTACTTACTTCTACCCTCCGTAGGATCAAAAATAAACAATAAGGGAATGACTGAAAAAACATAGCTGTGAGGGTTTTAAGTAGATTATCGCTTAGCCCCTGGGACTAAAACTAAGAATAGAATCCAAATTGTTCTAGTTTTAAAATTTGGAATTTTCAAAAATGTTTTTAATATACGGAGACCAGAGCAGGGCAGGGCAAAGAGAACTGTCTTTTGTCTAAAAACCTGTCTAAAAATGCCCACCATAATAACTCTAGCGTGGCTAGTGATGTTATATGAACGTAGCAGTTCTAAACGAGCAGAGTTGAAAACATTTAAAATCAAATATTAACTTTTGGAATTATCATTGAAATGATACCTTTAGCTACGGTGACGCAACTGTAAATGGTAACTTTTTCTAGTAACATTTTCACATCTTATCTCGTACCTCCATATTTTTATAGGATTTTAAGATTACAATCGTTATATCGTCTTGAATCGTATATTGAAGGTAGTCTTAACTGTACGTCTGTTTTATATCATGTTATGAATAACACATTTTTTATGTATTCAGTCTTTTTTTTGTCAAACATTACAATTTAAGGGCTCCTTTTGTACTTAAAACTAAATAATTAACTAGCAATCTTGTTTGTTCATAGGTATTACTTGATAGCTTCTTTGAATGTCTTTTATTTGAGGCACAAAGTTCTAAATATTTAACAAAAAAAAAGAAATTCTAATGGCAGCGCATTACTATTGTCTATGGGACGCTTTTTGGGAAATCTTTTTTTATATTTATTATCTAAATTCTAGACTTTCGTTCGAAATTAGGGTAGTTCGTGACAATATCCCACCGAGGAATAAAAAAGGAAATTTTCGGAATTAGTGGAAAAGTTAGATACTTTTAATAATTTATTCCAATCTGAAAGTTACGCTTATGTATTGCAGAGGCGACCAAACGTGAACAGCCCTGACCACACTACACATTCTAAGTTGAACACTGATGGAAGCAATTTTGTAGTTTAAACAGTGATATAGTAGTTATTCCTCAGAGTATATTATTATAGAATATTCTTTCGAAACGATTGAAATTTCGCTGTCACATTGAAGGAAAGAAGGCGGCAGCGTTCATACAATGTGAATTAATGTTACAAAGAGCCATGGAAGTGATAAGTACTACGTAGTACTTATTCCTTCCATGCAAAGAGCAGTATCTATTATATATTATACACACTTTGTCACGCTCTTTTTTTACTTTATTAATAAATCTGGAAAAAAAAACAAATTTTGCTACAGATTAGTCATCTTAAAGCCTCATTTTAACTACAGGCTTTCCATCCATTTCTTTAAACACAAACAAAAATATATAACTAAAGTCTACAATGGTTAACTAGGACTCTTCAAGAACGTTTCTTTCTCGTAATTAAATATTGTATTCGTCTTCACGTTCGAAGCGTCACTATTGAAATGCAATAACGTTTTTATTTTGTCGTAACGCAGTTTCGTTTCGTATACGTTTTTCGCTATTAAATAGAAACCTAATATTATTATTATTGATAAAACTATGATCGTTAGGGGCGGCAATATCACGACCATGAAGTATATCACGTTTTTTATTTTCGAAGGCAGATTTTCTTGATTCTGAAATTTACAAAAAAGTTGGATTAGAAACTTTTTAAAACAATGACAGCTGCTGTCAAACTGTTTGACATTTACTCTAAGCATGGAAATATGATTAAACCCTGAAATAAGGATTACTGGTAGACCGAAGGCCTTTCCAACTTCACCAGGACATGTGGGCGAATGGTCATCTAGGAGGGAGAACATAACCACTGTAATGCGTGTAGTTGATGTATATTTTTAAGCTAACAGCATAATAGTTTATAAGTTTAATTTGTAAGAATAGATTTAATTTAAAACCACTATAAGCTAGATAGCTAACTAAAAGCTTTGTATCTTAATCCAAATTTCGTTGAAATATCGAAGGGTGTGTGGTATTCAGTTGTCACACCCATAGATGCTAATGTAATTATGGTCACACTTCCCCTAGTGTCAGATTAGAAAAACCTATAAAAAGGCTTAAAAAAAAAACGGAGTAAACTTACATATTCTGCCCAGAAAAGTGGTAATATTAAATTCGAGAGCTTGTCATAGTTGTAACTGAACCCTGACAAATCTCTAATGTGCAGATTACTTTGCATTCGCGCCACAGAGTGAAACGGAGTACCCGTTAGCTGAAAAAAAATTAAATTAAAAAAAAAGTCACTAAAATTTTTTTTGAAATGCTTTTCATGCTTATGGTAGAAATTTGTCAAAAGATATTTTTTTCTTACTACAGTTTTATTTATTTATTGCTTAGATGGGTGAAGAGCTCACAGCCCACCTGGTGTTAAGTGGTTACTGGAGCCCATAGACATCGATAACGCAAATGCGCCACCCACCGGTCTCAAGTATGGTTACAACGGCTGCCCCACCCTTCAAACCGAAACGCATTACTGCTTTATGGCAGAAATAGTCAGGGTGGTGGTACCTACCCGTGCAGACTCACAAGAGGTCCTACCACTAGTAATTTTGCGGTTTTGATTTATAAAACATGATGTTATTCCTTCACCGTGGAAGTTAGTCGTGAACATTAGTCAAGTACATATTTCATTAGAAAAATTGGTACCTGCCTGCGGGATTCGAACACCGTTGCATCACTAAATACGAATGCACCGGACGTTTTATCCTTTAAGCCACGACGACTTCATAGTTGTTTTAGTTTCATGGCAAAGTCAAACGCTTTTAGCACTTACCGGTTCAACAATCACGTAAGAATTGTGCTTAATTCTATCAGGCTTGAGGCCGGTCACAAACTGGTCTTTGAGAACACCGCCCGCGTAGAAATGTGGATAGGACGACACCATTGGGAAATCTGCAAGAACAGAATTCACGAGTAAGTTTTAAGGCGTATTAAAATTGCCGAAAAGCTTTTAAGACAACCGCAAAACCGGTGTTTCCCGAGCGCTGTGATATGTCCTTCTTTAAGCGTGGCTTGTGGAGAGTACGTAACGGTAGGCAGCGGCTTGGCTCTGTCCTTGGCATTGGTGACGTCCATGGGCGACGGTAACCACTCATCAGGTGGGATGTTGCTCGTCTGTCTACTAGGGCAATAAAGAATATGAAAAAAAAGAAAAAAAAAAGTAGATGTCTATAGGCTCCGTTAACCTCTTATTAGCTTGGACCGCGATCGCGTTCACCCATCTAAGCAATAAAAACAAAATTGTCGATGATATTTTTCAATGCTTTTCAATACCGGGTTTGATTCTCGAATAGGTGGTAGGACCTTTTGTGAGTCCGCGCGGGTGGGTACCACCACCCTGCCTATTTCTGCCGTGAAGCAGTAATGCGTTTCGGTTTGAAGGGTGGGGCAGCCGTTGTAACTATACTTGAGACCTTAGAACTTATATCTCAAGGTGGGTGGCGCATTTACGTCGTAAATGTCTATGGGCTCCAGAAACCACTTAACACCAGGTAGGCTGTGAGCTCGTCCACTCATCTAGCAATAAAAAAATAAATAGAATAGACAAGTCGCTCTTTTACCGCCTGAGATACGAACACCGGTGCATTGCTCAACACGAATGCACCGGACGTCTTACCATTTAAGCCACGACGACTTCAACGACGAACTTATTTATAGTTTCCTCATGATGATTAGTGTTGTTTTATTTATTATTATGTGTATTAAGCACTGCCTCGCCTGGGAAGACGGCGGGACATAATCCGGCGAGGTGGGCAACAATCGGCCGGAGCGTTAGGGACTATTGGGAGAGAAACCGGCGAACTATACGGGCATTGTCGAGCAAGACTGCTTTTTGCCTTTGGGCCACCACCGACTTTTTGTTGAGACCAAGCCTCTCGAGATGTTTTGAGAGGCTTTTAGGGACCAAACCATTCACCGATACAACTTTCTTTCTGTAGATACTTCTCTAGATTCTTCTCTAGATCTCTAGATACTTCTGTAGATTATTTCTGTAGATACCACCCTCCACATGTCGGTCACCTCGTGCGCCAGGTCGTTATTATTATTATTATTATTATTGCTATTGTGTATTGTATCAATAAGTAAATTGATTAGATTGTACTCTTCTACCCACTTACGTAAAGCTCTCCCTCTTTAAGAACGGTTAGCTGGTAGATAACTCAATTGTTGAGTTAAGTTCGCCATTTTATAACTTTTCGCAATTATTTTTTTGTATTAAATGTGTGTACAATCAAGAATAAAAAAGAAGATGATACCACGATCAAATCCTATCACGAACGCTTTTCATTCAAATGCACTGTACATAGTGGAGAATCCTAGTCACTCAAAATATGTTCTAGAACTTACTGTAATAGCATTTCGAAGCATCACTGACGCCGTCCGGCAAGGTCGGGCTGCTGGCGTAACAGTCTGTTCCGTTCGTCAGACGTTCGTGCACACTCTCCGACAAGTTGTATCTGTACACCGGCACTCCTTCTAAGGTCATTTCGCCTGACAACCAAAGCGATACTCATCACACTCGCAATAAACTTGTTACTGGTGGTAGGACCTCTTGTGAGTCCGCAAGGCGGGTACTACCGCCCTGCCTATTTCTGCCTTGAAGCAGTAATGCATTTCAACTTGAAGAGTTGGGCAGCCGTTGTAACTATACTATTGTAACTGTACTATCTTAGAACTTATATCTCAAGGTGGGTGGCGCATTTACGTTGTAGATTTTTATAGGCTCCGGTAACTACTTAACACCAGATGGGCTGTGATCTAAGCAATAAATAAAAAATCGGATTTCATAGAAAACCTTGAGGCCTAATGGTAGGCAGCGGCTTGGTTCTGCCCCTCGCATTGCTGAAGTCCATGGGCGACAGTAACCACTCACCATCAGGCGGGCCGTATGGTTGTCTGCCTCCTCCCCCTGACGTCGTGTTCCTCAATGTTGAGGGTCATAACCTTTACGGAACACTTTTGTTAGGACTATGTTCCTCCATTCCTTCCTGTGCTCTTGCCAGTGGATAGCGACACCGATGCTGAAGTCCAATGTCGCCTTAATTTGATCTTACCAGCGCATGGGACTATGCCCCCTAACTTGTCTGCCTACAAAGGCAATAAAAAAAAAGCGTGAGTTTGACATCTCAATTACATAGTATAACGGCTGTCTCATCCTTCAGATTGGAATCCAACTATCCGGTCTCACAAGGCCTCATAAGAAAAATGAAAGCGTTAGCTATTTAAGTTCTGTATGAATTCCGTATGTTGAGACGTGACGCGCCGATGGATTCTAGTAACTTCGAGGGGATAATCTAGATTCACCGAGTTAGTAGGTGAACTCACGGGGCTCAAGCCGGGAGTGTTGCTAACACTGGCTCTAGCAAGAGCCGTGCTTCGCAGAATCTACCACCGGATCGGAAACGCGACACAATGAGAAGATCCGGCGAGGAACTCAGTCGGCTGTGTCTATGGGATAAGAGTGTCAACAATACACTGCAATTAGTATCCTCAATTCTCTTTTCTCCATCTCCGCTTCCCCTCACACTCTTCGATCATCTCTTTTCTCCCCTTCCCGAATCATGAACTTACTATCAAAGTAAAGTGGCATAATTTTGCAGACAGTCTTCCTCCAGTATAATAAGGTATCGTTTTTTGTGAGACGCTGCCGGTACATTACGCCTTCAGTAGAACCCACGATTCGATCTGGACACACCTGAGAAAACGTCAAAATTCAAGCTTAATAATTATAATTTTTTTACCGAGACATAGACAACAAACAGAGCGCCATCCCAGAGCCGCTTAAAAAAAAATTATAATTTAAAATGACCATTTTTTTATTGCATACATGGGTGGACGAGCTCACAGTCCACCTGGTGTTAAGTGGTTATCGGAGCCCATAGACATCTACAACGTAAATGAACCACCCACCTTGAGATATAAGTTCTAAAGTCTCGGCTACACCTTACAACGGCTACCCCACCCTTCAAACCGAAACGCATTACTGCTTCACGGCAGAAATAAGCAGGGTGGTGGTACCTACCCGTGCGGACTCACAAGAGGTCCTACCACCAGTAATCGACCAATGTCCATTCGATCACTACGTAGGTAACGCACGTAAAAGCGACAATCGTTATGAGATTTTACCTCGGGATCGTATCCAGGCAGCTGCGGGTTCCCCCAGAACCTGTCTATTTGAAAGAACTCGTCGTGGCCCCAGCGCGGGCCTATTTTCACCGTCATCTCGTCTTGGAAATTGGCGTATATCTGGAAATAATAGGTTGTAATAGGTCAGAACTTGCTTTTGTCTATGGAGGTTTGATGATGAGTATTAGCGCTATTTTAGGCTTTTTTTTGCCCGGTCGTCTGGGTCAGGTGTGTAGTAAATACATGCACCAAACCTAATATCATCATAGTCCTCAGTAGAAGATAGCGACTTAGCTAACCTATATCTAAAATTACTTTCTACAATTCAATACAAAAGATTAGCTCACATGTCTATTCTAGTGTACCTAAGTCAAAGGAGCCCATGGACATACCATGGAAACAACGTTACCTACATTGAGACATTCGGTCGAAGTGTCAGTTGTACTGTCCAATGTGGACTGTGAGATTTCGGCGTTCAAATTCATGCAGATTTATTTTTTCTTTATTTAGGCATTTTATAGGTTAGACAACAGAAATTTCATACTAACTAATGCAAATTCTAAATCTTCAACTCACCCTAGCCAATATGCCCATATTGTTGACGGGCACCAGACCCGGAGCCAGGTTCTTGGATAAATCCAAAACTGGTTCTCTAAAATCCCAAAGGTATTGGTGAACAGTCTTCTTTACAAATAATTCGCTTCCATATGAACTGGCCAGTATTGTAAAAGCCGATTGTATAAAAAACATCGAGTTGTGTAGATAAGACGCAATGCCCTGAAATGGTTTAGTAATACAGGCTGTATTGTTACTGTTCCCTGTGCCTCAGCGAGAATAAAGTACAGGTTAAGTATGCGTTATGTAATTAAATTTTTGTTTAAAATTACTTAGAAAATATCATTCCATGAACACAGAATAGGAATAGCCAAAATTTTACTACTTATTTTTTATGTTTTTTATTTATAATAAATACATAGTTTATAATAAATACATAGTTGAGATGTTGTTATATTCTCGTATAACATGACTTCGTATAACATAGGGCTTTGTAGGAACGTATCGCACGTCCTTACGAATCCAATAACCTTTGCATTAGACGCCTTCAGCTCTAACACTAGGAGCAGGCTTAGGGACCCCGGTAACCGTACTCGGCGAACTCGACAAAGAGGTCGACGTGCTACCTAACCCATGCATCAGCTCGCTGAGTTTCTCGCCGGATATTCTCAGCGGGTTGCGATTCCGATCCGGTAGTAGATTCATTTGCGAAGCAGCTGCTCTTGAGTTGTTAAGTCTCCTTCGGAGGCGCTCGGGCAGCTGTTAGCAAACTCCACCCCTCCTGGCTGAGCCTTTGCTTGCCCACCTGTCCTGGTAAGACTGGAAAGGCCTCCGGGCCACCAGTAATCTTTCAATCATAAAAAAGGAATGTATCTGCCGTGTTAAAGGGGTGTTACTTGTTTAAACTTAGCGGTTAACAGTATTATTCATTTACAAAAACTTTGTTGTTTTAATGATTTCATACGTAGTGAAAAATAAAGCCTAGATTGTTTTTTTTTCCTACCTAAGCTGATGATCTTGAGAGACCATATCAGCGTCACCGGGCGAGTATGTGAGCTCACGGGGCTCAAACCTGACGTTGTTGATAACACGAATCCTAGGAAGAGCCGTGCTTCGCAGAATCTACCAGCGGATCGGAAACGCGACCCACTGAGAAGGTCTGGCGAGAAGCTCAGTGGGCTGTGTCTGTGGGTTAATTTACTCGCCGAGCCCTTCGTCGCAAGCGACGGGTTCGGCAAGAACGATGACCGGTGCTTGGAGTACCTAAAAGTTCCGTTAGTGGATCGGGAGGAACCGAAATGACGTGTTTAGGGCGACGTCGACTGTTTAACTTACCATTCGGTCCGCAGGATCGGGGATTTAGTTACCGGCCGCCACGATGAGAGGGTTCTTGTGTCGTTCCGTTTTCCCGATATAGCGCATTGATGCAGACTCTAAATACTTACTGATGGACTCTAGGTCCAGGTCGTCGTGGAGGTGTAGGTTCCTGACGACCTAGGTTGCTAGCTGGTATCTCCCGAATGTATAGATAGCGCGTTATTTATAAGACGCTTTTATTAAATTGGTACATATGTTTGCTTATATATATATAACCGTTAACGGGATCATTGATTGTCATTTTCACCGACTTCAAGATATGCGTTTGACTTGAAAATTTGCACCCACATTACAGACCAATGACAGTATAATCATTTATAGCCTCGTTCTGAAATCCTGATCAGTGTCAACAGCATCAAAAAAGATGAAATTAATTATTGTAAAGGTACATTATTATTTAAACTACATAATATTTCATTAAGCGTGTCACTTTGCGTGTCATGGCGTCGCGAATAATTGATAAAAATTACTATGAATCAAACAATTGCCTCTCCTAACAGCACTAAATGTAAACACCCTTGACACACAATTTATCTTGGTGTGATTTACAGAATATTATTTATTTTAGTATCTAACTATTATATTATGTTGATATAATCGGATTGTAGATTCAGACGCTGGCGGTAAATTAATTTTCGAAATTATTCGCTTAGACATTTGTTTTTCCCTCCAAAAAAACAGCAGTCATTTGACGTCAATAGATTGATGTTTGGTTAGAATTAAAAGCTTTTTTTGAGGATATTAACAAATATATTTAAGATATAAGTATTTTATTTATGTATAAGTATTTTTGTATAAGTTTTTAGTTTATGTATAAGTCGTCGTGGCCTAAAGGATAAGACGTCCGATGCATACGTGTTGAGCGAAGCAACGATGTTCGAATTCCAGGCGGGTACCAATTTTTCTAATGAAATACGTACTTGACTAGTGTTCACGATTAACCTCCACGGTGAAGGAATAACATCGTGTAATAAAAATCAAACCCGCAAAATTGTAAGGGCACCGGTGACCTACAGGGCAGTCAATATCTTTAACACTGTTATCGACCACTTTGGGAAAGGCTACTCTAGACCATCAGCTTAGGTAGGAAAAAAATAAGCGTAGCTACAATAGTTTCATAGGCTACCAGAGAATAGCACTCCATCTGTTTTGTCATTGAAATCTCAATCTTATTGCACATATTCCTAGCTTTTAAAGTGAACTGCTTCGCTAGAGCTAGGCAGTATAGTTGGTATGTCATGGGTTTTTTTTTCGTTAAACTTACCAGCACCGCCAGATTTGGCACTATCAGGGTCGCATTCATGTCAACATTGTTTTCGTCGGGCAAATATATGGTGTGACGTTTTGCTATATACGTCATAGTGCTGTTCTCGTTAAACTTTATCCCGGTATGGACGAGTTTCTCTCTGTGAATAGAAAAACAAAAATAAATTGTTAAGTAAGCTCTATTTATCCGGGAAAAATGTAGGCAACGCCGCCACCTTGATGTGGATCGCCCGCGTGGTGGCTTTGTAAAAGTGTATTTATTATCTATGCTCCGAAACTGGTCGTTGTTCTCCCGGACTTTTGGGCGGGAACGCGAGGAGTGAAGTTGTGTGATATATTTTATTTTGTCTATTTACTGTTTCTTTAGGCTTAAATGTGTAATAACGGTAGTTTATTAACTGTTTAATATCTGTGAAATTGCACAAATGTGGGAAAATGAACCAAAGTCGCCCAACGTAACTTCTCGGGATCCTCCAAAAACCCCACTGAAAAAGTCTCAGTAAATGACCACCATTTTACTGAGTGAGTACAGCCGCTGTAACTATACTGAGACCTTAGGAGTTATATCTCAAGGTGGGTGGCGCATTTGCGTTGTAGATGTCTATGGGCTCGAGTAACCGCTTAACACCAGATGACCTGTGAGCTCGTCCATCCATCTAAGCAATACTTAATACTACATAGACTATTAAATCGAGTCGGGAACCCGGAGGGCAATATCCCTGGGTGTGTTTAGTCGGTGTGTCCCATTGCTCAGTACATTGGTCTATTGACCTATTCACTGGTAGCCGATGAAACTATTGTAGCTACGCTTATTTTTTTCTTATTTTTTTCCTGCCTAAGCTGATGGTCTAGAGTAGCCTTTCCCGAAGTGGTCGCTAACGCCCCCTCGTGGGCGCTGCAGGCGTAAGGGGGCGGTAAGAGACCCAGAAAAAAAATGGAGGCGTTGTATAGAGGATTGGAGGCGATTTGTAATTTCATCTAGGAGGACTCTTAGACAGTTCTCGCTATAGTGGTTTTTAAATACCTAAGTGAAAAAATGGGAGCGCTAAAAGGATTTATTCTCAAAGTGGGCAGTATACAACATAAGTTTGGGAGCCCCTGATCTACAGAGACCATATCAGCGTAACCTTAACTAGTAGGTGAGCCCATGGAGCTCAAACCTGACGATGTTGCTAACACGAACCCTAGCAAGAGCCGTGCTTCGCAGAATCTACCACCGGATCGGAGACGCGACCCACTAAGAAGATCTGGCAAGAAATTCAATGGGCTGTGTCTGTGGGTTAAGCTAGCTACGCGCGGACAGGTGGCTCACAGGCTCAACTTGAGAATTTGCTAACACTAGTAAGAGCAGTGCTTCGCAGAATCTACTACCCGATATTTATTGAAGTGAAAACTTCTTTAGAATCGTTGTGATTTCAAACCGGATGCAACGGAAAAAACGACAGGTAAGAGACACAAATACAAAAATGTGTAGGATGATGCCAGCAAAGAATGAGACAGAAATATACATACTATTTAATACAGCGCCATCTGTGAGATTTTTTTAATACTAACGTGTGTATGAAAGCTCTTGTAGTGAATTTTAATTTAGGATTATACGTGAAATTAAAATATCAATTCACAGAGGGCGCTACCTTACAATTATTTACTAATGACAAAATTTTACATATACTTAAGACGTTTAGGATAANAGATTTTTTAATACTAACGTGTGTATGAAAGCTCTTGTAGTGAATTTTAATTTAGGATTATACGTGAAATTAAAATATCAATTCACAGAGGGCGCTACCTTACAATTATTTACTAATGACAAAATTTTACATATACTTAAGACGTTTAGGATAATTGTATTTTAATTTTGGAAGGTTTCACTTCTACCACGTGTGAATTGCACACATTTTGTTTTTTCTATTTATTGGATTTCTTGACTAGTATAACACCGCGATATGACCTTGGCAGTCAAACGATTATGTTAGTCAAGTTTTTAGTGAGGAAATAATCATCGAATTGTGAATGGTTAGTCTTAGACCGCGCTTCCTACACTAGCGTTCGAACACATCTTAATTATGTATAAAGGTCATGCTCATATGAGAGCGACTTGACTATACTAATTTTATACGTATCAAGAATCTGAAGAACCTATCTAATAGTTGAACCTTTAGGACATCTACCGATATCAGAATCAAACTCGAAATGTCACATTTAAAAACCTCATCGACAATTTTGTTTTTATTGCTTAGATGGGTGAACGCGGTCACGACCCACGCTAAAAAGTGGTTACCGCCGCCCATAGACATCAACAAAGTAAATGCCTTCACCCACCTCGTGACATGAGTTCTATCAGTTCTAAGTTACAACTACAGTATAGTAGAAATATGCAGGCNTATCAGAATCAAACTCGAAATGTCACATTTAAAAACCTCATCGACAATTTTGTTTTTATTGCTTAGATGGGTGAACGCGGTCACGACCCACGCTAAAAAGTGGTTACCGCCGCCCATAGACATCAACAAAGTAAATGCCTTCACCCACCTCGTGACATGAGTTCTATCAGTTCTAAGTTACAACTACAGTATAGTAGAAATATGCAGGCAGGTGGTGTATACCCGTGCTGGCTCACAAGACAGACACCTGCCATCAGTGTGCTTAGTGCAAGTTTTTTAATGTTCTCGATAACGTAAAAGTTAACTCAAATTTGTATGGAGTTGGAACAGCGCCCTTAGCAGCAAAGGAAGGGAAGGAAGAATTTAACTTTTACGCGATCGAGATGTTAAAAAACATGCACTAAGCAAACAGAAAAGCTTCCGCGGCTATCTACTTTAATAGCTTTACAAGCTCCAAAATGATTGGTGCTTCACACGACTGCGAAAGGAATATCGCACCAAATTCAAAATATCGGGCGAAGCATTAACAAACAAAAATCGCTGTAAAAACCGGTTAAATAAATATTATAATTTTTAACGTCTAATCACGAATTAAACGGACATTGTAATAATCAATGTTTTACGTAATAAACAAACAAGAATACAAAAATTTTCCTTATAACGATATTTATGACCGAGCGAGATAAGAGACAAAGGGCGAATGATGTAATCTCATCTGAATGAACTTATCTTGCATCAAGGTTACGCTAACACCGACTTGTTATTATAGTTATGTCTCAAAGCACAATTGGAGTGTCGTTTCGTGTTTAACATCGTGTCTTGAAGGACGCGAGATGTTTCCTTCCGGACTCCAAAGGTATTTTGTTGGAACAAGATTTTTGAGGGTTGACTATTTTTGCGCCTCAAAATATTACGATTGAAGGTCGTTATACGATTGAGTTTTCGATCTTTTTTTTTATGATTTAAAGATTACTGGTGGCCCGTAGGCCTTTCCAGTTTTACCAGGACAGGTGGGCGAGCAAAGGCTCAGCCAGGAGGGGTGGGATTTGCTAACAGCTTTCCGAGCGCCTCCGAAGGAGACCTAACAACTCAAGAGCAACTGCTTCGCGAATGAATCTACTACCGGATCGGAATCGCGACCCGCTGAGAAGATCCGGCGAGAAACTCAGCGAGCTGATGGATGGGTTAGGTAGCACGTCGACCTCTTTATCGAATTCGCCGAGCACGGTTACCGGGGTCCCTAAGCCTGCTCCTAGTGTTAGAGCTGAAGGCGTCTAATGAAAAGGTTATTGGATCAGATGGATCCGTAAGGACGTGAAACTCTTCGATCTTATAGCTTAACGGCGGTATCAGTTGCGACGAGTTTCTTTTTTTTAGCCTCCTTATTCACTGGTAGCCTAGGGGCTTTTTGCAGCTACGCGCGGGTGGGTAGGTCAGTTCACGGGCTCAACTTGAGAGAATTTGCTAACACTATCCCTAGCAAGAGCAGTGCTTCGCAGAATCTACCACCGGATCAGAATCGCGACCCACTGAGAAGATCCTGCAAGAAACTCAGTGGGGTGGTAAGAGCTTCGGTAGCTACATTAATGAACCATTCAAACAATACAATTCAATACAATAAATACTTATTAATTAGTAGCTACAACAGAAATAATAAACGTACCAATCTTCTCTCAAGTATTCGCGTGTAGCAGACACAATTAAAAATTACCTTTAAGATTCAATCTCGTTCTTTTCAATGTCATTACATAGAAATAGCACGTAAAAGTCTAGAAATATTATTTAATTAGGAAAATAGAGGGTATGTAGCAAACACCATATTTAAATGCTGAAGGGGAATTTGCGGTCATTCGCGATTAAAGAAACAGTAAAAAATTTGAACTTCGCAAATAGTATAATAGAAGTTTGAAATACTTATTAAAAATAAATTAAGCCTTTATAGGGTACTGGAATTGTTTGGACACATTTCAAACAGTCACAATTTCAAACATCTGATGGTGAAAGGCAATATATGGCAACCGTCCCAGAGGACGTAATCCCACGTGATGGTCGGACCAAATTTGATTTTACCTAGACATCAAGTTCCACGATGCCCTCCACGAAGCCAAGGATCAGAAGGAAATCGCACGTGAGAAAATGATGCAGTTATGACCCACAGTAATGAGGAAAGCGATGCAAAGAGTTTAAATTATGAACCTCCTAACTCGGTTTCGCCGTTGAAACTAGAACCCTCCTAGGTTGCACGTAATCGGTTAAAATTAATCTATGAGGGTAGCTTACAAAAGCTGGATGAGAGACACTGAGGATCGTGCAATTGGAGAGACCTGTGTCCAGCAATGGACTGCTACAGGCTGATGATGATGATGAATCGGTGAAAAACAAAAAAAAATGGGCAATGCTTATTCTATGCTATGCTATTATGAAGTAGTAATGAGTTTCTGTTTGAAGGGTGGGGCAGCAGTTGTAACTATACTAAGTATCTTAGAACTTATATCTCAAGGTGAGTGGCGCATTTACGTTGTAGATGTCTATGGGCTCCAGTAACCATTTAACGCCAGGTGGGCTGTGAGCTCGTCCACCCATCTAAGCAATAATAAAAAATAATTAAAATTATCCATTACCAGTCATTTTAAAACAAGCACGTGAAATCAATTAAATAGCGTAGCAAGGCATCTCTTCTAGCTTCTGTTGCGCCTTTCACGTCGTGTACGTAATATCATTGACCTTAGAGTCGTCGTTAAGATGCAACGACTTAAACTAAAGATTTATTTGTCTCGGGATAATTATTATCTACAATATTGCATCCTGTTTATAATTAAAATGGGCTAAAGTTCAAAACCAAGCTAGCTAATGTTTTTCTTTTTTGTGAACTTTAAAAATTTTAAGCAGAATTTAAAGAGACTTGATAATTGTGCTGAAATAGTAATCAGGAAACATGCCATAACGGGTCGAAATGATCCACTTTGAACTTTTGTATAGCAAAATGCAGGTATCATCTTATTGCTTTTGCACATTTGACTTCATGACTATTTCTTACCAATTAATCTACAATTATTATACTTTTTTTTTTTTTTTGTTTTGTTTATTTTGGGTGATACTTGTCGTATACCATTATCTACCCGCTGTGGTAGAAATAGGTACCAGTAAGTGTTAGTATGGTTAGTGTTAAAGTTAATTGTAAAGGTAGTAAGCATGCGTTTACCGAACTAAGCATATAAAATATCATAGCCCGTCAACTATCGCGAATGTAGATAATAGTGCCCCCCCCCCCTCGCGCGTTCACTCGAGGTCGTTCACCCGCGCATTAATAATTGTTTTACATTGCGCTGTGCATGAAAACAACTAAAATATAAATCAAACTTGATCTTCTTTAGTGTGCGCCATCGTTTCTATTTGAATATCAATCAACTTAAGTCACATTAAAAATGCAGGTAATATTAGTGTCAAAATTTAAACATTTACATACATATAACTAATGACTGCGTAAGACAACATAAGATACCACAGTGCACGATGCTCTGCACTCAGCTGCAGATAGGAACAGATGGCGGTGCACTATAAAAAACATTCTGTTTCAAGGCCATGACCACGACCCTCAGTAATAAGGAAACCGACGCAAGGAGAGAGAGAGCGTAAGACAAGCTTCAGTTCGCGAACTATGAAGAACAGCTGCCAAGGCTATAATAAACAAGGATTCCACATGACCACGACTGCTCTGCCAAGAGTAACCGACTATGATGATGACATATACCATGCTGATTGAAGAAACGTAATTATCTGCTTAAAACTATAATATTATACAGCTTTTTTTTATTCCTTAGATGGGTGGACGAGCCCACAGCCCACCTGGTGCTAAGTGGTTACTGAAGCCCATAGACATCTACAATGTAAATGCGCCACCCACCTTGAGATATAAGATCTAAGGTCTCAGTATAGTTACAACGGCTGCCCCATTTGTCAAACCGAAACGCATTACTGCTACACGGCAGAAATAGGCCGGGTGGTGGTACCTACCCGCGCGGACTCACAAAAGGTCCTACCATCAGTAGCTACTCACAAATAAACGATAGGTCCTATTTCCTCGACGTTCAGCTTCGGATCCAGTCCTTGCATGAACCGATCGTGGTTCGTGATGTTGAACGCGTACACCCTGAGCTTCACTTCATCGGGGGGATCTGCCCACCAGTCGTACGGCGGGAGCCCTAGAATCGACAACCACACAGTGTGCTTAATCCGAGTTTTTTAACGTTCTCGATAGCGTAAAAATTAACTCGAATTTATATGCAATTGGAACAGCGCCCCTAGCGGCAAACGTAGGCAAAAGCTCGAACTCCATACAAATCTGAGTTAACTTTTACGCTATCGAGAACGTTAAAAAACTCGCACTAAGCACACTGATATTGACCGCGCAATCTAATGGGTACAGCGGGGCGAGCACCAACGACTATCCATAGATAATACACATGAATTAGTTATAGATAGGCAACTCAAACGCTCAACAAAAGGTTTACGAGCGTCGGCCACTAGATGGCTTCGCTTCGATTAGATTCTCAGCGCTCCTGTAGATAGCAGTAAAATATTACCTTTCCTACATTTTATATTTAATGAACGATTTTCTAAATTTTCAGAAACCACAAATTGATAAAATTTAATCAATTTGTCTATAACAAATAAAGACTTTCATGTTTTTTTTTTTCTATGTTTAGTTAAACAATAATGAAATGTCTTAACTTTAACAACATATAAGTTAAGGGGCATCCGCTACAAGATGTTGCTAGTTTCCGTACACAAAAAATATTTGTCTAAGTTCTAATGTATCAGTTTTTAAATCACTACAATGGCTACCTCGCCCTTCGAACCGAAGCGCATTACTGCTTCACGGCAGAAATAGGCAGGGCGGTGGTACCTACCCGCGCGGACTCACAAGAGGTCCTACCACCAGTGGATCGCTTACAACGTATTCATGATTGAACGCACCTGGTCTCATGTTAAGCTTCTCCCACAGCATAAAATCCAGGGGCGTGAAGATAAGCCCCATCACGGACAACACTATGAAGGTGATGCCCAATACACACTGAACCTTGGGCCCTGGGAACAAAAGATACATTTCATAAAAATAATTTATAATATTTAACAAATGCTTGGTATTACAAATATTTTTAACTTGGTATTATAAACATTATAAATGAGTATATCACAGGAAGTGTGAAAGTAGCCCCGGTAATCAACAAATTAAAGAGCGGACGGTTAGCGTGGTATGGACGTGTGATGCGTAGAGAGAAGATGCTTGTGACTAGGATAAGTATGGAAATGGTAGTGCAAGGTAGAGGGGGAAGAGGTCGACCGATGAAGACATGGATGGAGTTAGATCCGGTAGTAGATTTAGCGAAGCACTGATCTTGCTAGGGCTAGTGTTCATTCTCTCATATGCTCACCCACCCGTCCGGGCGTAGTTGAAAGGCCTCTTAGGCTCTCAACGAGTAGGTAGGAAAAATAGTAACGTACTTCTAGCCCCAAAAATCTAATTTGATGCGTAATGAGTCTATGTGCACGTCCTTACGGATCCATCAGATCCAATAACCTTTGCATTAGACGCCTTCAGCTCTAACACTAGGAGCAGGCTTAGAGACCCTGGTAACCGTACTCGTCGAACTCGATAAAGAGTTCGACGTGGAACCTAACCCACGAATTAGCTCGCTGAGTTTCTAGCCGGATCTTCTCAGCGGGTCGCGATTCCGATCCGGTAGTCGATTCATTCGCGAAGCAGCTGCTCTTGAGCTGTTAGGTCTCCTTCGGAGGCGCTCGGGCAGCTGTTAGCAAATCCCACCCCTCTTGGCTGAGCCTTTGCTCGCCCATCTGTCCTGGTGAAACTGGAAATACCTCCAGGCCACCAATAATCCTTCAATCATAAAAAAAAGAGTCTATGTGATTTAACACCGATTATTTTGTAAACTAAGTTACAAAATCATGTTCGAAAAAATCTTGATCTTATCCAACCTTCGTTCGAATCAATCCAATCAACCGTCATGTCATGGCCTTCTTTAATAAATTTTCCCTATATTATCCTGGGCCAGCTTATCACTTGTAGACAATATCAATATGACGTAATAGATACGCAAATCGTAAACCATATTAGAATAGATCCGTAACAACACAACGACCTATTGCCCTATTTTTTAAAATCATTCCGAACAATATAATGACGTCACTTCAGTCGCCATCTTCAAACAAAGGGTCGTCTCTATGGAATTACAATTAGAAGCCTTCGTAGCAGTTCATTTTGCTATCATTATAATGATATCAAATACTCCAGACAGTGAGAGACCTAATTGCGCTTTCTGTAAATATAAATATGAATGTATTAACGATCTTCTTCTTTATGTCCTCCTCATCCCACTAGGTAGGGTCGGCACAGCGAATTGTCTACTACATTTTCCTCTATCAGCCGTCAGCTCAACACTCACTCCTCTCTCTCTCTCTCTCTCATATCGTCATTCACACACTCCATTCTCTGGTGGAAGGACCTCTTGTGAGTCCGCACAGGTAGGTACTGCCGCCCTGCCTATTTCTGCTGTGAAGCAGCAATGCGTTTCTGTTTGAAAGGTGGGGCAGCCGTTGTAGCTATACTTAGACCTTAGAACTTATATCTCAAGGTGGATGGTGGCATTTACGTTGTAGATGTCTATAGGCTCCGGTAACCACTTAAAACCAGGTGGTCTGGGAGCTCGTCCACCCCACTATGCCATAAATAAATAAAAATGTCTTTTTCGGTCGACCTCTTCCCCCTCTACCTTGCACTACCATTTCCATCTCCTAGTCGCATGCATCTCCTCTCTACGCATTACATGTCCATACCACGCTAAGCGTATTGACCATATAAAATTAAATCGACAATAGTCGACGTCGCCCAAAACACGTCATTACGGATCCTCCCGATCCATTAACGGTACTTTTAGGTACCACAAGCACCGGTCACCGTCCTCGTCGAACCCGTCGCTTGCGAAGGAGGGCTCGACGAGCGAATTAACCCACAGACACAGCCCACTGAATTTCTCGCCGGATCTTCTCAGTGGGTTGCGTTTCCGATCCGGTGGATCCGGTGGATCTGTGAAGCACTGCCCTTACTAGGGCCAGTGTTAGCAACACTCCGGTTTGAGCCCCGTGAGCTCACCTATATGTTAGGGCGAAGCTGAAATAGCCTCTCAGGCTATCAGCATAGGTAGGAAAAAAAACCATAATAAATTAATCTAACAAAATATTCACTCAACTGTAATATAAATACGAAAATAACATTTAACGTCCTTCGTGGCTCTATTGAAATTAATATTTTAAACAATATTATTGTGTTACGTAAGATTGAATTATTCATCGAATGACAAGTGAGTGAACTTGTTTAACACATTGACTGCCGTGTAGGTCACCGGTGCCCTACGCGGCGCACTGAAGTAATTGTGTCGATTTCAGTTACTGCCTTAGTAATTACCTAACATTTTTTTAGTATTTTTTTTTATTGCCTTTGTAGGCAGACGAGCATGCAGCCTGATGGTGATTGGTTACCCTCGCCCATGGACTTCAGCAATGCCAGGGGCAAAGCCAAGCAGCTGACTACCGCTTAATACTCTCCAAAAGCCTCGTTTGAAGAAGGACATGTCATAGCGCTCGGGAAACACCGTGGAGGGGAGCTCATTCCATGGCCGAATGGTACGTGGTAAAAAAGACCTCTGGAAACGCACTGTGGATAACCGCAGTGGCTCCAGGTAGTATGGATGAACTCTACTTCGGTGGCGGGCGGTGCGATGAAACGAGACGTAACTTCTCCTTCTTTTGTATGTTAATGTGTGTTATAGTAGTTTAGATCACTTAGAAATAGATTCATTCTCAGTATCCTTAGATTCATCTTTCTCAGAAACTACTAGAAATTATGGCACCTAAGTAAAAAGATCGAAGAGAGACATCGACATAATTACTTCATTGCGCCGCGTAGGGCACCGGTGACCTACACGGCAGTCAACATGTTAAGAAATATATATTTAAAATAAATAGGTAATAGATACACTTGGCCCGCGGCTTCATCAGCGTCAGAATGGAACACGTCGAACTTTCTCGATCAAAGATTTGCTGGTATCGCTTTGAGGTTTTATTGCTTGCTTTTTTTTAAGGGATTTTATGTCCTGGTAACTTAGACTTTTAAGTCATATCTTATTTTAATTTATATTCATTTTTTTATGAAAAATTATAATATGGGGAGAAATGAAATGAAGATGATTAATTTGAGACATTAATCAACTGGGATGAAATTAAATGATATGAGATGTGATGATATGGGATGAAATATAATCTCAGAAATCTCAGGTGATCATTTACTGAGATTTTTTTAATGGAATTTTTGGAGGATCTCGAGAAGCTACGTCCAGCGCCTTTTTTCATTTTCCCACATTTGTGCACTTTCACAGATATTAAACGGTTAATAAACCACCGCTATTACACATTTAAGCCTGAGGAAACACTAAATAGACAAAATAAAACAAATTACACAACTTCACTCCTCGCGTTCCCGCCAAAAAGCCCATGATGGATGGTAAAGCCAGTATAGTCCATAGACACTGCTGACAGAGATCGAGATTTGACTTTAAGAATGCTAATACTAGGTACTGAGATTATATTTCTCTCTTCTCTCATTTCATTTAATTTCATCCCAGTTGATTAATGTCTCAAATTAATCATCTATAGTTCATTTCATTTCATTTCACTTCATATTATAATTTTTCATAAAAGTAAGAGTATTTATAAATTAAAATAAGACATGACTTAAAGGTCTTAGTTACCGGGTCATAAAATCTCTTAAAAACAAACCATCCATCATGATTGTTGTGTGAGCCCACGGTTCTCAGCATGAACGAGCTTGCTGACATTGACCCTAGCAATAAAAGTGCTTCTTCTACAATCGGATTAGAATCGCGACTTGAGGAGATCCGGCAAGAAACTCAGTGGATTAATTTGCCCAATTATTCATCGACACGTACCGAAATAGTCACTATGGATTTTCTTATCTCGTTTATTTATTTCCGATTCCATTTAAGGCTTTGTGCACCGCGAGCTTCTCTGCTCATCTAATGAATAAAAAAAAACCAAGGAAACAACAAAGTCTTTTGTCTTTTCTGACCTCACTTATTCTATAAACGTAGGGAGAACTATAAAATAACGTACGCTGTTTTAATGTTCTGTAACAAAAGAATCTATGGGCCTAATTATGAATGACAGAGGTCTTGTTGACGAGCGGAGCGGACAAGACAAGTCTTACAAGACAACTTTTTACTGGTGGTAGGACCTCTTGTGAGTCCGCACGGGTAGGTACCACCAAGCGGCCTATTTCTGCCGTGAAGCAGTAATGCGTTTCGGTTTGAAGGGTGAGGCAGCCGTTGTAACTATACTGAGATATTAGAACTTATATCTCAAGGTAGGTGGCGCATTTACGTTTATAGATGTCTATGGGTTCCAGTAACCACTTAACACCAGGTGGGCTGTGAGCTCGTCCACCCATCTGAGCAATAAACAAAAAATACATCTGCCTCAAAATTGTAAACGATTACGATTGGTAATTTTTTTTAATTCGCTCAGCATTATCCATTTCCAAGAAAGTTCCATTTTGAAGTTATGATGTAGACGTCTTGTTGACTCAAAACATATGAGCTATTCATAAAACATACATTAAGACACAACCTTTAGACACATATGACGTCATTTGTTACGAACAATTTAAATGATTTTAATGTTTTTAATTGTTTATATTTTAGAAATGAAATATTGTTTAAATGTAATTAAGATCTTTAATATTGCTGCTTTGTTTTTTGTTGCAGTTGCATTTGTCATTTGCCACATTCTATGTGTATTTTATGCGACCGCGAATAAACTTTGCGAAACTGTTCAATCCGCTATCGCTTGTGACAACACACGAGCGGCTTAAACAGGCTATAAGTGACCTAGGAACTGATTACATAAATAGTTATCACGCGTCGACTGAATACAAATTTTGCATTTAGAATTCGTTCGTGATGATCGTAACATAGGATCGTGCTAAGTTTCTTCTATAAATAATCAGGTCTCTGAACACCTCAGAGATTCTAGTGACGTGAGTAAATGGCAACAAGCCCCTGGATAAGATAACAAAAGCGATTTTTGGTAGCCTAACAGACAATAGTTCGGTTATATTCACAGCCTAGATTTGGTATTTCACCTTCATACGACAGAAACGCCAAGCCTTACACATTAGGTCAAGGACGCCGTCTTTCAAAATAAAAACTTAATAATGGTTTTAAGGGGATATTATTAAGGGTTTAAACCCTCAGACACCGCCCACTGAGTCTCTCGCCGGATCTTCTCGGTGGGTCGCATTCCGGATTCGGTGGTACATTTAGAGAAGCACTCTCTTACTAGGGGTAATGATAACGTCACCGGGTTAGAGCGCCGTGAGCTCTCCTACTTGGTCGGCGAAGCTGGCTCGCCCCTCGAGGATTAGGTAAGAAAAGAGAAAAAAAAATCTCAGGCCATCTCAGGCAATGTTAATATTATAAAACACCGGCAGTAGCCGCGTCGTAGGGCACTACCGTGTTCTTTACCCGAATTAATTCAGAAACTAATGTTTTTCGTGTCAACGCACGAGCGAAGCATTATAATAATAACTGGGAACAAATCACGCACGGTCATTCAGCCCCAATTTGAAATTCCCTATGTTATGGCCACCAGAGACTGACATACATACTTATATACGTTTAAATATGTACAAGATAATAAACGTCCAGACGAAGAGCAAACAAACCTGTTCATCACACGAATGTTTATCCGATGTGGGAATCGAACCCACGACCCTCGGCACAACAGTCAGCGGCGCTAACTACTCCGCCACCGAGTCCGCTACGAAGCCAACAAGAATCATTCAATCAATCAAGGTAGTACAAAGCTCACCGCAGTAATTGGTCTGTCTTCTTTTGCCATCAGAGCGGCTCGCGGCGCATATCTTAAAGTCGGCGGTGTCTAAGTTGTGGCAGCTCGTCTCGGGCGTCGTCTCGCTGTCTCCCGAATCGCTGTCCTCGGATCTGACGGAGGTCGCCCCGGAAGACTCACCGCCAACCGCCGGCAGGATGGCTTCCGCCGACATTTCGATAGCTGACCACAAGAAAATCAATTCGTTAGCGTTTATGGTTCAAACAAACACGACGAATGCTGACTATAAGCTGGAATCCTCCTGGAACCCACTCTAACGAATTCAAGGAAATCGGTTAATTTAGATAAAATACGCCTTCATTTCTCCTCAGTCGAGGTTTTTTGGAATAAAGGATTATTGGTGGCCCGGAGGCCTTTCCAGTTTCACCAGGACAAGTGGGCGAGAAAAGGTTCAGCCAGGAGAGAAGGGATTTGCTTACAGCTGCCGAGCGCCTCCAGAGGAGACCCAAGAACTCAAGGGCAGCTGCTTCGCCAGTTAATTTACTACTGGATTGCAATCTAGACCCGCTGAGAAGATCCAGCGAGAAACTCAGTTGATGTATGGGTTAGGTTGCACGTCGAAGTCTTTGCCGAGCTCGACGAATACGGTTACCAGATTCCCTAAGCCTGCTCCTAGTGTTAGAGTTGAAGGCGTCTAATGCAAGAGTTATTGGATCTGATGGATCCGTAAGGACGTGTTTAGCGCCTCGAAGGACCATGTTTCGAACTGCTCTGGGGTAGACCGGTGATGTATAAAATAAAAGAGTGGACTGTAGTATTTGGTAAGTTTATAAAAAAGTAAAACAAGATAAACAAGTAAGTGTCGCGGGCGGCGTTGCTGCACGAAGTGACGAAGCCGGTGTCCATCCGCTGCCCCGCGCCGCTGTCCTCCTCCCGGCGCCCGCGCCGCGCGATCGTCGATGTCCGTGCATCGACAGTCGAGGTGTGAATACAATAGAAAAACTCGAGGCGCTTTGACTGCACCCTTACCAGAAGTTTTTATTCTATCGCCCATTTTTTTTAAAAAAACATTGCTGATTTTTGTGTTCTTGTAGAATATTTGTGTTTGTGTGTTTTTGTAGAATGTTCAGGATTGACTTCCACGGTGAAGGAATAACATCGTGTAATAAAAATCAAACCCGAAAAATTATAATTTGCTTTATTACTGGTGGTAGGACCTCTTGTGAGTCCGCACGGGTAGGTACCACCACTCTGCCTCTTACTGCCGTGAAGAAATAATGCGTTTGCGGTTCGAAGGGTGGGGCAGCCGTTGTAACTATACTTGAGACTTTAGAACTTATATCTCAAGGTGGGTGGCGCATTTACGCTGTAGATGTCTATGGGCTCCAGTAACCACTTAACATCAGGTGGGCTGTGAGCTCGTCCACTCATCTAAGCAATAAAAAAAAGTGTCTTCTCATTCTCTTCACATGCACTCCATTCTTTTAGGTCTCTTTCCTTTCGCATCCAGTCCTAACCAACTATTTTGACCAGTTCAACCTCATTGATTGTCTGCTCAGGTTACGGCGTCCAGTACCAAGTTTCCATTCTAATACATTTGTGACCCGCCGCATAAAATTATTAAAATCGATCACACGTTTTTAACGAACGCTTCTCGAATATTCTCAATGCACTACCTATTAATAGCTAATTGATTTTATTTATGCGAGTTATTCGTTGAACGAAACGTAACTTCATATCGCTACCGTCAACGAACTCGGAATTGTGTTGTTTGAGACAGAACAATGTCATCTTTGAGATAAATGAGATCGTTTCCTCAGTGTCATTGAAATGCAGTGCAACACACCACCTCGCTGATTGCGAAATCATATATTGCTAATTTTTTTAATAGATAGAGTGATTGAAGAGGAAAGTTTATATGTATAATAACACCCATTAAATAGGGGAGAAAATCTATTATCAATAATAAATTACAGTCTAAGCGAAGCGAGGGCGGGTCGCTAGTATGTAATATAGGGCTGACCGCGAGAACCCCTCTACTTTACCCAGTCTCTGACGGCGGATATATGAGCGAGTACAAAGGGAATATTTTAGTGGGTAGGGCTCTAAAAGATCCTTTGACCCGTGGTCTACTCCCAACGTTTGCAGACCCACATACTCTGCATGCTTGTATGAAGTTGGACCCTCTGCTTGGATGGGTATCATGTCTACCTCGCAGTCTTTCCGATATAACAAAAACTTCTTCAGACGAGGATTGAAAATAGTGCTAGTTTTATGTAACTGCTCGTCGTTGTAAGTCGTAATGCGTCGTGGTCTAAAGGATAAGACCTCCGGTGCATTCGTATGTAGCGGTGCACCGGTGTTCGAATCCCGCAGGCGGGTACCAATTTTTCTAATGAAATACGTACTTAACAAATGTTCACGATTGACTTCCACGGTGAAGGAATAACATCGTGTAATAAAAATCAAACACGCAAAATTATAATTTGCGTAATTACTGGTGGCAGGACCTCTTGTGAGTCCGCACGGGTAGGTACCACCGCCCCGCCCATTTTTGCCGTGAAGCAGTAATGTGTTTCGGTTTGACGGGTGGGGCAGTCGTTGTAACTATAATGAGACCTTAGACCTTATATCTCAAGGTGTGTAGCGCATGTACGTTGTAAATGTCTATGAGCTCCAGTAACCACTTAACACCAGGTGGGCTGTGAGCTCGTCCACACATCTAAGCAATAAAAAAAGCTATGTTCTTGCTATGTCCACGGGCGTTCTTGAATTCAAAAGAAATAAAATCTGGTAAATATTTTTATTGTTGTCATAATATCTTAGATTGGCAATTGCTCGTGAGGCAGAATATAACATCTGCCCACAGCAATAATACTAACTGACGACCTCAACCTCTCTGCCAAGAGTGGTACGACAAAGAAAAATATCTTAGATAGGCATCTTTCGGGGTTTTAGAACGTTCGGAAGATGCTGCGAACCAAGGTGAATTCTCGTAGGAAACACGGTCAGTGGCACATCGAGCAATTCTTTTACAATCACATTTTAATCTGAGGAAACGAATATACCGCGAACAGAGAACGGATTTTAAAGATTACTGTTTAATATTCTCAAAGGCTTTATTGTTATCGGTGCTCACGGGCAGACGGCTCACAGGTGCAATTCATTGGAACTATAGTAGGAAAGAAAGTGAAGGCCGAACCCAGTTGAATCGCGCTGACGGTATTTTCAAGTTTGTTATTATTGCGCTTGTAGGTAGAGGTTAGATGAGCGGACGAGCCCACAGCTCCCCTGGTGTTAAGTGGTTACTGGAGCCCATAGACATCTACAACGTAAATGCGCCACCCACCTTGAGATATAAGTGCTAAGGTCTCAGTATAGTTACAACGACTGCCCCGCCCTTCAAACCGCATTACTGCTTCACGGCAGAAATAGGCAGGGTGGTGGTACCTACCCATGCGGACTCACAAGAGGTCCTACCACCAGTAAAATCTGCTATAAACAGACAAATCCTCAGCTACTTCGATCACATTGTCCGCTGACAGCCGGATAGCTTAGACAAAGTGATTGTGACGGGTAAGGTGGAAGAAAATAGACCCCACGGCCGATCACCTAGCCTCTGGTGTGACCAAATAACCACACTAACTGGGCTGTCGCTTTACGAGATGCTGAGTACTGGACGAAGTGGAAACAGCTTACGAGACAGACTACGGTCAAGTTTCAAGGACATGAACTTCAGTAATAAAGAAAGCGACGAAGAAAAAGAAGGCAGATGAGCATACGGCCCATGATGATGAGTGGTTACCGTCGCCCATAGACGTCAGTAATGCCAGGGGCAGAGTCAAGCCGCTGCATACCGTTAAGTACTGTCCACAAGCCTCGTTTGAAGAAGGACATATCACAGCGCTCGGGAAACACCGTTGAGAGTAAGCTCATTCCAGAGCAGGATGGTACGTGGAAAAAAGATCTCTGGAAACGCACTGTGGATGAATGCCGTGACTTTAGGTATCTAGATAGGCCGATGTTATCACCTCAAACGATTCGTCAGACCTTGCGTCTATACAAGATCATCATGACGCGAATATCGCCACAATTCGGAATCTCAGATCGATGTCTCATAGTTCTACTGTGGAACGGCTGTCCTTTAGAAAGCGTTATTCGCAGCACAAATGGTCAACAAATAGTCGACTAGATCATAACCATAATCAATCAGTGTTTGTTCATCGTCACGAACCCCCGTCAATGAACACGCGAGCGCTACGTGTTTGCTTAAATCAGCTCGCAAATGTTCGATTGACAACATGACGCATGTTATCTATGGATGGGGCAGGTCACGAATAAGGCATCAGAACAACGTGACGATTCGGCACCCGAAGAATATAAATATTTTTTCTATGATTGTGGCATTACTGGTGGCCCGGAGGCCTTTCCAGTTTCACTAGGACAGGTGGGCGAGCAAGGGCTCAGCTAGAAGGGGTGGGATTTGCTAACAGCTACTCGATCGCCTTCAAAGGAGACCTAACAACTGTAGAGTAGATGCTTCGCGAATGAATCTACTACCTGATCGGAATAGCGACCCGCTAAGAAGATCCGGCGAGAAACTCAGCGGGCTGATGTTCAGGTTAAGTGAATATGAATCTTCCACCCCTCCAGAAATAATTCGCGTTGATTCAATAAATTAGAATAGCCTAAACAGCACTAAACAGTTTTAGAGCTTTGTGAATTTCTTAATATGACTCTTAGAATGTACGTTTTCAAGGTCAAGTTTCGTAATGTATATTAAAAGCGTGTTTTGTAACATCACAATCGCACAGTCAGGGTTTATGTAGATTGCCAGATTTGCAGACTTAGATTCCGAGAGTTCGGGGTACTGGGATTTGTTTAATATTTTGCAGGTTTGATTTTCGTGAATCGTGGTTTGATTTCGAGTCGATCATGGTAGTCGTTCGTGAATATTTGTCTTTATTTGTTATTGCTTAATTGAGTTAAGTGATTACCGGAGTCCATAGACATCTACAAAGTAAATGCCACCCCCTACTCTGAGATATGAGTTCTAAGGTCTCAAGTATAGTTACAACAACTGCCCCACCCTTCAAACCGAAACGCATTACTGCTTCACGGCAGAAATAGGCAGGGCGGTGGTACCTATCTGTGCAGACTCACAAGACGTGCTACCACCAGTGGTTACGCAAATTGAAAATTTTGCGGGTTTGA